TCTCCCTAGGCTCTAGTCATGAGTTGCCAAGGCTATGGAAGCCTTTTGAGTTTGCCGACTTCGATCTTATTCCGACAGGGTCATAGTCAAAGTGGAAGTTCTCTCCTCCCTTCAGAGAAAGGTACCTCCTTCTTTGATGGCCCTGTTCTTTCCACTGGGATCTCACTCACAGAGATCTTTCATTTAGGTGTTTTGTTGTTGTTGTTTTTTTTTTTTTTTTTTTTCCCCAGAGTGTCTTGGCTTTCCATGCCTGAAATACTCTCATGGGCTCTTCAGCCATATCTGAATGCCTTGAGGGCTGATTCTGAGGCCAGAGTGCTGTTTAGGACATCAGCCATTCTATGAGTCTGCTGTGTATCCCGCTTCCCATGATAGATCGTTCTCTCCTTTTTTGATTCTGTCATTTAGTATTAGCAGACACTAGTCTTGTTTGTGTGATCCCTTTGACTCTTAGAACTATCAGTGTGATCAATTGTGAACTGAAATTGATCACTTGGACTAGTGAGATGGCATTGGTATATGCCACCTTGATGGAATTGTATTGGGATCCCCTGGCATGATTCTAACTCCACCATTTGGGGCAAGTCCAATTGAGCATGTCCCAAATTGTACATCTCCTCCCTCTCTTATTCCCACTCTTATATTTAACAGGGATCACTTTTCAGTTAAAATTTAAACACCTAAGAATAACTGTGTGTTAATTACAGAATTCAACCAATAGTGCTAGAACAAAACAAAGAAATAATACTAAAAAGGATAAAGTATTACATTGTACATCAACAGTCAGGACAAGAGCTGATCAAGTCGATCAACTCATAGTGTCCATTTCACTTCAACAGGTTTCCCCTTTGGTGCTCAGTTAGTTGTCGCTGATCAGGGAGAACATATGATATTTGTCCCTTTGGGACTGGCTTAATTCACTCAGCATGATATTTTCCAGATTCCTCCATCTTGTTGCAAATGACCGGATTTCGTTGTTTTTGACTGCTGTATAGTATTCTATAGAGTACTTGCCCCATAATTTCTTTAGCCAGTCTACTGTTGATGGGCATTTGGGTTGGTTCCAGGTCTTAGCTATTGTGAATTGAGCTGCAATAAACATTAATGTGCAGACAGTTTTTTTGTTTGCCAATTTCATTTCCTTTGGGTAAATTCCAAGGAGTGGTATGGCTGGGTTGTATGGTAGGGTTATCTTCAGGTTTCTGAGGAATCTCCAGACTGACTTCCATAGTGGCTTAACCAGTTTGCATTCCCACCAACAGTGGGTTAGTGTCCCTTTTTCCCCACATCCTCTCCAGCATCTGTTGTTGGTAGATTTCTGAATGTGAGCCATTCTAACCGCGGTGAGGTGAAACCTCATTGTTTTGCAAAAAGTTCAAGGAAAATAGAATTAAAAGGTGAGTATATTTTGGTACAAAAAAGTTTTGAAATCTGTGTATATGAGGGCATCTATTAAAATTTCATGGTAGGCCGGCGCTGTGGCTCACTAGGTTAATCCTCCGCCTGTGGTGCCGGCACCCCATATGGGTGCCGGGTTCTAGTCCCGCTTGCTCCTCTTCCAGTCCAGTTCTCTGCTGTGGCCCAGGAGGGCAGTGGAGGATGGCCCAAGTGCTTGGGCCCCTTACCCGCATGGGAGACCAGGAAGAAGCACCTGGTTCCTGGCTTCGGAATGGCACAGCACTGGCCTTAGCGGCCATTTTGGAGTGAATCAACAGAACAAAGACCTTTCTCTCTGCTCTGTCCCTCTCTCACTGTCTGTAACTCTATCAAAAAAAAAAAAAAAAAAGAAAAAAAAGAAAAAATCATGGTAAATGTGTATAATGAAAAAAAACTACATGGATTCAAAAACTTTGTATCAAATAAAAGAAATCTTTTAATTCTCTTTTTTAGTGAACTTTTTGAAGTACCGTCATACTGTCATATAAATATGACAGAGGTTTGTATAGAGATTTCAAGATTATTTTTGGGTACTGCAAGCATTTTCTGTTTGGTTCTCACCTGTCTAGTAAAAAAAAAAGCAGAATCAGGAGAAGCTTTCCCCTCTTATGACGTGAAAGAAGGCTGGCCTTTGGGTAAGCCCAGTCAGTTGATAGATTCCTGAGTTCTAGTCAAGAAGTAGATTCCCAAGCAAGTTAGACAGCTTAGATTAAAGTAGTACTTTTCAATACTTCTAGTTACCAGGGCCTGTTAAGGACTATTAAAAATTACCGAGGACCCAATAGCTTATGTATTCATTTATAAGTAATAATAATAAATACATTACATATTAACATCAGAACAATAATATCATGAGAGCATGAGAATAGAAAAGGCATATAATGCTATTGTATTTTTATGAAAGGAGTGTGACCTCATAGAGCCTGTGAAGGGGTCTTAAGGGACCATGTTGCTCAAAATCCAATTGTAGCTAGATAGGCAACCAGCCTGGAAATTTCCACTCCAAGAGTCAAGCTAGCTATTGGTTTTTCTGCAATAAAAATTCTTATAAGTGAAATTTGGAGGTTATGGTTTTAAAATAAGGCTGTATATGTGCCACATTCACTCATAAATGTTTGAATTTGGGTAGGGAATTCATTTTTTGTTCTCTTGGAACTTTGTAGATAAGAGCATTCCATCAGCTAATTCAGCTCAGAATTTCAGAACAGAAGTGAATCTGTGTGCTCAGCTGCTGCAGACCAGAGGAAGTCTAGGGGTTGGTGATACCTGGACCACTTAAGCCTACCTACTTCAGTGGATCTTAGTCTGGAAACCAAATTGGCAGCTGGAGGAGTTCAGGGTACTCCGAGTAGTCAGTCAATTTCCTTCTCCCTGCCATTCCCACCTTCTTTCTTCCTCCCCTGCCCTCCTTTTGCTCCCTGTATCTCTCTCTCTAACTCTGCCTTTCAAATAAATCTTGAAAAACAAACAGGTCTGGCATTGTGGTATAGCACATTAAGCTACCTCCCAAGATGCCAGCATTGCTTGTGAGTGCTGGTTCGAGTTCCAGCTGCTCCACTTCCAATCTAGCTCACTGCTAATGTGCCTTGGAAAGCAGCCAAAGGTGGTCCAAGTGATTGGGCCCCTGCCACCCATGTAGGAGATCTGGTTGGAGTTCTAGGCTCCTGGATTCAGCATGGCCCAACCCCAGCTGTTGTGCCATTTTGGGAGTGAACCAGTGGATGGAAGATATCTCTCAGTCTTCCCTTGCCTCTCGTAACTCTGTAATTCTTCCTTTCAAATCAATCTTTTTTAAAAAAAAAGATTTATTTATTTATTTGAAAGTCAGAGTTAACACAGCGAGAGAAGGAGAGACAGAGAGGGAGGTCTTCCATCTGCTGGTTCACTCCCTAGATGGCCACAGTGACCAGAGCTGTGCCGATCCAAAGCCAGGAGCTTCTTCCTGGTCTCCCATATGGGTGCAGGGACCCAAGGATAAGGGCCATCTTCTACTGCTTTCCCAGGCCATAGCAGAGAACTACATCAGAATTGGAGCAACAGAGACTCCAGCCTGTGCCCATATGGGATGCCAGCACTGCAGGCGATGGCTTTACCTGCTACGCTACAGTGCAAGCCCCTCAGATAAATCTTCAAAACAAAACAAAACAAACAAACATAAAAACCAATCGTAGCATCAAACATAGAAACCTACTATATGGGGTAGTTCCAGTGAATAGGAAATGAATCCAGTTTCAGATGTCAATAAGTCATGAAACAGAGGGCTTATATAATTCTGCTAGTAAAGTAAAATTCTCTTAGGGTGTGCCGTTGACACTTTGGAAATCAGTGTCAGGGAATCTAAGTTGGATATTAAAACTCAAAGCTGAAGTAGACTTTAAGAAACAAGCTGTTAACTATATAGCAAGCAAAAGTTGCCAAATCAAAAGTGTAGCTCAGGGTGATCCAAAATGGAGGAGATGTTATTTGTTAATTATAATTGTTTCTGATGAGTGATTTGGAAATAGGGATGGTCTTTCCTCTTCCCCATTTAATACTCTTGAAATAATTTTCAGAAACAGTTTCTCCTTCCACAGACTACAGATTAATATCTTAATGTGTCCAAATTAATTTCAAAAAGTTAACTCTAATTCCCAGAAAACCTGACAAGCTAAGTACAGTAGTGGGCATTTTCTTTTATTTATTTATTTATTTATTTTAGTATTTTTTATTTATTTATTTGAAGTACAGAGTTAGTGAGAGAGACAGAGAAAAAGGTCTTCCTTCCGTTGGTTAACTCCCCAAATGGCCGCTACAGTTGGCGCTGTGCTGATCTGAAGCCAGGAGCCAGGTGCTTCCTCCTGGTCTTCCATGCGGGTGCAGGAGCCCAAGCACTTGGGCCATCCTCCACTGCCCTTCCGGGCCACAGCAGAGGGCTGGACTGGAAGAGGAACAAGCGGGACTAGAACCCGGCACCCATATGGGATGCCGGTGCCACAGGCAGAGGATTAACCAAATGAGCCACGGCGCTGGCCCCCAATAGTTGGCATTTTCAAAGTTCCAAGTTTAAAGCTAGATATGCTGTGATACCTAATGCTTAATTTTTTAAATTTCTTTTATGGCCTAACAGCCCACGAGTTAGGAGATAATAATCCTTGACATTTTATTCAGCCATACCCTGCTGGCAGTTTCCCATTTCTGGAGTTGTTAAGCAGCAAAAGCTCATCATCCATTAATAATGCTGCTGAATTATTCAGAAAAATCCTTAACTAAAACAAATGTTGGTTATGACCATCTCATTTGTCCTCCCCCTCATTTCCCATCTCTTTTTCCCCAAGGTGACTCTACCAGACTTCCAAACCCATCATCACTGATCATCTGCCAAGAACACAGATTCTTTCACTGGGGATTTTGGTCACTGTGTCAGAGTTTCCTTTGGAGCAGTCTTCAGAGCAGGGCCCTGTGGATACCCTGGCATGGTGTGACTGCTGCCCAGTAGAGCTTTGCCCACACTAGGTGGGGATGGATTACAGGAATCCTGGTGAACTGATTAAATCCTCTGTGTTTGCCCTCCCTTTTCCCCACAGCAGTCTGAGCTATCAGCTGAAGAAAGTCCTGAAAAATTAGGAACTTCCCAGCTACATCATCGAAAAGTTATTTCCTTGAACAAGCAGATTCTACAGAAGACCAAACACCTGGAAGAGGTTAGTTTTTTGTTGTTTTTTTTTTTCAACTTTTATTTAATAAATATAAATTTCCAAAGTACAACTTTTGAATTATAGCAGCTTTTCCACCCCATAACCTCCCTCCCACCCACAACCATCCCATCTCCCATTCCCTCTCCCATCCCATTCTTCATCAAGATTCATTTTCAATTATCTTTATATACAGAAGATCAACTTAGTATATACTAAGTAAAGATTTCAACAGACTGCACCCACACAGACACACAAAGTATAGCGTACTGTTTGAGTAGTAGTTTTACCAGTAATTCGCATAGTACAACACATCAGGACAGGGGTCCACATGGGGAGCAGGTGCACAGTGACTCCCATTGCTGATTTAACAGTTGACACTCTTATTTATGACTTCAGTAATCACCCGAGGCTCTTGTCATGAGCTGCCAAGGCTATGGAAGCCTCTTGAATTCACCAGCTCTGATCTTATTTAGACAAGGCCATATTCAAAGTGTTTTTGTTTTTGTTTCTTTAGTCATTTCATTGACATGAATGAAACCATTCTTCAAAAAGGGGATAAATTAGGAACCAAATTAAGATCTCCATAGTGGATTTATCAAAGGAGATTGTAGAAAAGGGACTGACATAAGCCAGCCTTCAGAGCATACCAACTACCACCTGTTTTTTTTTTTTATTTTTTTATTTTTTTTATTTTTTGACAGGCAGAGTGGACAGTGAGAGAGAGAGAGAGAAAGGTCTTCCTTTTGCCATTGGTTCACCCTCCAATGCGCTGCAGCCGCGCATCATGCTGATCTGAAGCCAGGAGCCAGGTGCTTCTCCTGGTCTCCCGTGCAGGTGCAGGGCCCAAGGACTTGGGCCATCCTCCACTGCACTCTCGGGCCATAGCAGAGAGCTGGACTGGAAGAGGGGCAACCGGGGACAGAATCCGGCACCCCGACCGGGACTAGAACCTGGTGTGCCAGCACCGCAAGGCGGAGGATTAGGATTAGCCTATTGAGCCACGGCGCCAGCTCTACCACCTGTTTTTGTAAAGGTTTTTTTGTTTTTTTTTTTTTCTTTTTTTCGGAAAATGTGCATACCATTTGTTAACATTTTCTGTGACTGCTTTCAAGAAGCAATGGCAGTTGGTGGGTTGCAGCAGAGCCCATATGAGCTACGAAGCCCAAAGATTTACTGTGTGTCCCATTCCAGAAAAAGTCCTTCAGCCTCTGTTATAGAAGAATATCACAGGGCAAGAGTGGCATTAGTGCAGTTGTATACTGAGCACAGCTGCGTCCTAGGCACTGAGGTAAGTCATGGAATGAATGATGAACAAGCTGTGATCCTTGCTGTCAAGGATCTTAAGGTCTAGTGGAAAACATCGACTAAACAAGTATATTGCACTCAACTTCATTTAATGATAATTGTGGTAAATACTTGAGAAGACACATGGGGAACTGAGAGGGTGACTAATAGACCTGACCTAGCCTGGGGTCACAGAGGACTGTACTAGACGCTTGAGTGGGCATTGGCTGGGAGGAAATACGCACATGAAATGTAGAGGTACTAGATCGGGAACTTGGTGAACAAGATGAACAAGGACCAAGGAGAGGAATAGTCGTAGCCAGTTTCTGTTTTGTGACTGAAGACTGCTGAGTGAGGCAATTGACTGGCAGAGTCTGATCAAACAAGACCTTCCAGGAAGCCCACAGAGGGGTTAAGTGGCATGATCAGATATGTAAGTTGTACACTGTTTGCTGTAGGACTAAGGTGAGAAAAGGGTTTAGGGAGAATTAGCCCGATGCAGCAGTGCTGACATGAGCTATTGATGGCAGGGGCAATAGAAGAAACTTGATCATTTTTGAGGGATTTTTAGAAGATGACATTCTGTAGTAATTGGTGATGGATGGGACTGTTTTGGAAACACCTTCATATATTTGCCTTGTAGGATAGATGTAGGTGGGAGGAGGAGTTTGATTCAGGAATGGTCATTAGGCAGTAAAAAGTTGTTGTATACTTCACTTGCATTGGCAATAAGTTTTTTAATGAGAAAAATACACATAATAGATTATGGAATGAATATGACTTTCTGAAGAACAAGTTTTCCAGAAATGGATGCCAGTTAGCATTTTGAACTTGTACACTTCTCATTCTTTCACATCTCACATTCAAAACATAATATATGAAAATGTCCTGCCCAATCATTTCTTTGAATTTATTCTGTGAGAAATTGTTCTACCACAGCTGAACAAACAACAACAGGTTGGTTTTACCAAAGTGCCGTGGTCATAAGCAAAAAGGGATGCAGAGATTACATAATGATTTGGTTTCTGTCCAGAAATTTGTTGAGACATTTTAGTAAGTTCTCAGCTTAGACAGTGCCATCTCTGTTCATGACCCTTGCCAGTAATAAGCACATGAGAGTGATTAATTCAAAAAGAACTCATTGTGGGAGTGTATTCGGCCTAAATAAGACGCTACTTGGGATGCCTGCATCCCATATTGGAGTATCTGGGGTACAAGTCCTGACCCCCCTGCCCATTACAGTTTCCTGTTCAGGTACACCCTGGGGGACAGCAGATGGTGGTTCAGTAGTTGAGTTCCTGCCACCCACAAGGGATTGCATTCCCAGTTCCTGGCTTTAACCTGTCCCAGCCCCAGCTGTTGTGGGCATTTGGGTAGTAAACCAGCACACGAAGGTGAGTTTGAGTCCTTTTCTCCCTCCCTCCATCTCAAATAAATAAAATAAACAATTTTTTAAAGAAAGAATTTATCACAGAATCAATATAAACAATAACCAAGAAAGAGAATTATTTACCCTAACGTCTTTATTGTCTGCAGTTGTTGCAGACCGTATGCAGGAGCCAAGGACCTCAACACAAGTGGCTGTTTGCTTCTACCTCCTGTCCAAACTTGACAGAGAATGCCAAGTCTTCTTCTAAATGGCCGTCCTGGCACACTCTATTTTCGTCCAGCTAGTAGACAATCCTTCTGACTCTTAGAATTGGTTCAGAACCTGTATTTACCAACAGCCTATTCAAGAATTGGTTCAGAACCTGTATTTACCAATAGCCTATTCGTTCTCAGGAATACAGCATAACACATAGCATTTCTTAGTAAAGGACACCAATTATTATTGCCTTGGTTAATGTCACTGAAGATGACAAGCTTGTGCAGTAATCTCTGGTCATGTAGCTAGGTCAATTGGATAAGGACAATGAGGTAGCAGGGAGATACTTGCCTGGGAACACATAAGAGTTAGGTGACACAGATGAGAATGTGCCTGCAAATATGTTCTAGTGTTCTCCGGTACAGTGGGTGATTATGTGTCACAATAACTCATTATATATTTTATGAAGAGCTAAAAGAAAGAGGTGTGAAGGCTCCAGACATAAAGAAATGACAAAAAGAAATGCAAATCACTGTGATTGACTCAGTACATGCTGTATGAATGTCTTGAAATACCACACTGTACACAACAAATATGTGTAGTTATTATGTTATTCAAAAATGTATAAAAAAGCCCATGACTAAGCCAGTTGATGAAAAGAAGCACTTTCTTTTATATTCTACAGAAAATAACCACTTTATTAGTTGTCTGTTGTCATACAACCCCAAATTTTAGTGGCTTAAAATGACAGCAAATATCGTATGCAGTTCCTGTGAGTCAGGGGTTGGGGGTATGTGCCTGGAGAGGCTGCTTCAAGGATGGCGAGAGAATACAAACATTTTCTGTGGAATAAAGCTTTATGCAAGTGTAAGGAATAAAAGATTAGCATATTTCTCAGATCAACCTAGATAAGAATGTTTTCTGAAGGTTAGGAAACAGCATCAACATTTTCATGAACATTTTTTCTCAAGAAAGAATGATTTAGGACCACCGCTATGGCATGGAAGGTAAAAGCCGCGCCTGTGATTCTGGCATCCCATATGGGTGCCAGTTTGAGTCCTGGCTATTTCACTTCTGGTTCAGCTCCCTGTTAATGTGCCTAGGAAAGCAGGCCCCTGCACCCACATGGGAGATCCAGAAGAAATTCCTGGCCCCTGGCTTCACATTGGCTCAACTTTGACCATTGTACCCATTTGAGGAGTGAACTATTGGATGGAAGATCCTCCCTCCTTCTTCCTCCACCCCCCCCCCCACCGCTTCTAACTCTGCCTTGCAAATAAATACATAAATCTTAAAAATGACTTGAGCTATAAAAATGTGTGTTCCCCCTACTTCCTAATTTACTCAGCCAATTTCAATTTAGAATAGCCTATCAGAAAAAAAATATAGCCACTAAACTTTGTAACTGTTTCTTAATTTGCCCTTCTATTGCTCACCTTTTAGGCTAGCTGGTCTTCAGAATTCTTTCTTCTTTACCTTTGCTTCTGTCTGTCAGAAGACACAGGGGTGGTGAGTAGCAAACCTTTGTGTGAGAATCCAGGTCTCTGAAACCCAAGTCCCAGCTCTCTGCTGGACTGCTTCTATGGCCATAGCATCCCAGCCCTGTGTTCACCCTCATTATCAAGTGAACTCGATCAAGAAGGGGTTCTAATGAGTGAGTTTATACTCTGCGTGTATGTAGACATGGATGTGCTAAGAATATTTTTTTTTCTTTATCAGTTTTCAAATGCTTTAAATAGGTTTTTTACATTATAGGGATAATACAAACTCAATATTAATAAAAAATAGTTTATGGAACTATATGAGGATAAAAATGAATAAAGCAAGCCACTCTGTGTTTCTGCTGTATTTCCTGGTTACCCTTTCCTAGGCTTTGGCAAACGTGTGTCCTTTCACCTGTGGAGAGTAAGGAGTCAGGTTACAATATTGAGTCTGTTTTTCACTTAATTTGCCATAGAGATCTATTAGAAATAATAATGCTAAGTGCTTTTCAAAAATAACTCAGTTTGAGTAACACCCTTTTGAAAGAGGTGCTGTTATTATCCATCCTCATTGTACAAATATGGAAACTAAGAGAAGGTAAGTAGTTTGCCTGTAATTACCAAGCTTGTTAGTGATAGAGCCAACATTTAAGCATATAAATCTGTCTCATTCTTTTCAATAGCTGGATCATGCGATGTGATATATCTACTGTAATTTTTTTAACTTCTCTATACATGGCTACATAGGTTTCTTCTGGAGACTTTTTTTTTCCAGTTGCAAATTTACGCTAGTATGAATACTTAGTGCAAACATCTTTGTACAAATGTATTTCTGTTAGACTTCAAGAATTGCCAAATCTAAATATAACCATTTTCAATTTTGCTAAAAACTATCAAGTTGTCACCAATCATTTAACTAGTTTACACTTCCATAAGTAGTAAATGAGAGAATTGAAACTGTTTAAATTCTGGAACCTCTCCTTCAAGGTCATGCAAGCAGAACGTGACTCAGATGTACCTGTGATGTTGGTGACAAGAACCATGCAGTGGGACTTGGGCCAGCAGAGAAAGAGAAGGTAGGGTGGTCAGTAAGAGAAGAAGCGTGACCATTGCACAGTGCAATAGAGGAATGTGCTTCAAAGGAGGAGAATTAGAGTGTAGCTAGGAGATAGCTGAGAAGAACTCTGAGATTGAGGCAAGAAAGTGAAATCCAGAAAGAAGGTGTTAACCAGTGACTGAATTTTTAGAAAAACTCTAGAGGCTAATGATGAAGAAGAATTAAGCTAAGCTACTGAGATTCCACATTTAAGAAAAGGTGATCACACGAGGAGATGGAGAGCTCTTTTTAGTTGAATTAATTAAAGAGAATAGAGAGATGAACCTTTCTTTCTTAGCAAGCTCCTACTACCCTGCCAGATCCAACTGGTTGAGTCTCTTGGTGAAGTCTTCCTGAGTTCCCAGATAAGCTAGTTGATTCCTTGGGCCTCCCCTGGGCTTGCCTCTGGGTAGCTCTTCTCATGCATTAACCCATGTTACCCCCATCTCCTGGTCCAGCCCCTTGAGGGCAAGGACTGTTGTCATGTTGGGGCTCTTTCAGCAATTCACAGGTTCCAATTTAGGAATGTTGGAGAGACACCAACATTACACCTTAGAAAACTTCAAGGGTTCAATGACTAGGATTCAAGAGAAAACCAGCCTTCCTGCAGAAGTACTCTCATCCACAGTTACTCAAACCAGTTAATAAAACATCTCATTGCATAGATGGCTCCATTGAAGAGAGACATGCCAGGGCCCACCTGCTTCCTCTCCCTTATCACTTCCATTTGAGTTGGCTGCTTGATAGGCCTTCACTCGTGAATACTTGTGACTGGAAGCACAATTTAAGAACAATTTCTGAAAGTGACACAACTCTTAATAGGTTACTTACAGGCTCAAGGATGACACAAGTCATTTTGAAATAGTCTTAAAAGGGAGGTTAAAATTTCACATTGCTAATGTGGACCCAGGTGAAAATTGAAGAATCTAATAGTAGCTTTCTGCCATTTCTCCTTTCCATTATTAGAAATGCATAAATGCTTTGAGCATTTAGCACAATGTTTTCAGATTTCTAGAAGTTCATAGACAATACAAGGATATGCATTTTTAGCGAGGAAAAGAGAATTGACATTTTCAAGATGTGAGTTTAGAGTAAAAGTAATTCATGTTCTTTCTCTTAGTGTTGAAGTCCTCAGTCCTTTCTTCTCTCTGGTATTATTTGCAAACTAGTCATACACCATGCTACCATCCTGAGTACTGAAATGCAGTTTATATTCTGTGCATGCAAAGGCAATCTGTTTACCTGTAACTGTTCAAAAAAGTCAGGTAGACCTGAGTGTGAATCCTGGCTTCATCTATTGTCAGTATCTCTACCTCTTTCTGGCTTTATTTCCTCATCCATAGAATAAGAATAGCATCCTCTCCACTGAATGTAGGATTCAGTGATAGGTTTTATGCAGATTACCTAGTACATGGTCTGAAATGTACTTAGTGCTAATCAAATATAAGAGGTTTTTTTCTAGTTCAATAGTATTAAGTAGAACAAAAAAACTACTAAAAGGGATAAAGTATTAAGTTGTACATCAACAGTCAGGACAAGGGCCGATCAAGTCACTATTTCTCATAGTGTCCATTTCACTTCAACAAGTTTCCTTTCTGGTGCTTGGTTAGTTGTCACCGATCAGGGAGAACATATGATATTTGTCCTTTTGGGACTGGCTTAATTCACTCAGCATAATGTTTTCCAGATTCCTCCATTTTGTTGCAAATGACCAGATTTCATTGTTTTTTACTGCTGTAGAGTATTCTATAGAGTACATGTCCCATAATTTCTTTATCCAGTCCACTGTTGATGGGCATTTGGGTTGATTCCAGGTCTTCACTATTGTGAATTGAGCTGCAATAAACATTAATGTGCAGACAGCTTTTTTGTTTGCCAATTTAATTTTCTTTGGGTAAATTCCAAGGAGTAGGATGGATGGGTTGTATGGTAGGGTAGTACTCAAACAGTATTTTATACTTTATGTTCTGTGTGGGTGCAAACTGTTGAAATCTTTACTTAATATATACTAAGTTGATCTTCTGTATATAAAGATAATTGAAAATGAATCTTGATGTGAATGGAATGGGAGAGGGAGTGGGAGTTGGAAGGGTTGCAAGTAGGAGGGAAGTTATGGGGGGGGGAAAGCCATAAACTGTACTTTGGAAATTTATATTTACTAAATGAAAGTTAAAAAAAAAGTGTAAAACAAAAAAAGAGGTTTTTTTTCTTCTGTTTCTGGCAGCCCTTCTAAAATTCCCACATAATTTACTCAGTTTAAATCTTAGCTTCCATTTTCTTATCTGTGAAATGGGGTTACCATCCATATCCTTGTTGTTATAAGGAGTAAATGAGAGCATATGTCTTTATCTTTCATTTACAGCTGCGAGAAAATCATAGCAACCTACAATCCAGATACAATGACACGAAGAAAACACTAACAGAGGTGAGTAGATCTGCCCTTCTTTGTGGGGCTTTGACAAGGATTGGTTTTGACAGGTCTTCTAGCAGAACGCCACATGTCATCAGGCTGTGTGGAGGAGACACAGTCGTGTCCTCAGAGGCTCCAGTCCCTTTGAGGACATGGGATAGTCATAGGTGCTGTGTGACCCACGCCCTCAGATTATCCACTCTGCCATGTTCTCAGCCATCAGCCATTGAGGGAGGAGGGGCATGTGTGGGCTGAGGAAGGTGAGCCTGATAGATAGGGTTTGGGGGCAAGCCAAAGAACCTCAAGGTCACTCACAGCAGATAGCCCCTGCTCCCCGGAAAGCCATCTATAACAGCTCCAAAATACTGGATTCCTTGAAAGAATGTTTTCTTTTGAAAGAGAACCTGAGTGACCTCATTTGTTGTTTAGGAACGCCATCTCCTGGGTAGGATGAGGGAGGTGAGGAAGGAGGGGACTATAGGAGGGTGCAGTGGGTTAGGATACGTTTGAACATGCAGTTTGGTTTCCAGGACAGGTTGCAAATGTGCCAACACATCAGCATCCTGGGGAGGCCCGCCTCCCACTTATTGTTGCCAGGGGAACAGGGTGTGGAGCACAGCTGCCCCCTCTGTCGTGAGGAGCATTTGGATGGTTCTGTCCCTTGCGTTTCCACAGAAAGCTGTCCTCATCTGGATCTGGAAGACTCTCTGTGTTGGGATTTTGCTGCTTCAGCTGCAGCTGCACTCTGAAAGTGCCTCACTGTGAAGTCTTTCTGGACCATTTGGAAGCCAGGATCTTCAAAGATGTCTCTGAAATCAATCCAGTCCATTTTTTCAATTTGTTCCTATAGCAGTATACAGCACTTATTCACTGCCTTGATATAAACCTGACAAAACCTTTCAATTTTGAGCTGATTTCTTCAGTTATTGTCAGAATGTTTAAAAAGGGCAGGCATCAAAATGGCTATTAGAATAATTTTGTTTTCACTTTCTCTAAAGATACCTGCATTGAATTTAGACAAGTCAGCTTCCTTAACACAGATCAGCTCTGTGACTGCATTCCTTAGGGATTAAATGACAGGTTCCTGGGGATGAATCCCTGCTGATTTTAATGCTGCAGGACCCCTGGCATGAAGTTTGCCAAGCCAGCAACCAGTTTTTATGTAATAACCTGGAAGAAATTAAGTGAAAAACATCTTCATGTCAATTTCCTAAGACATTTATATGCTTTAGAATATAAATTCCAGTGGAAATAAAGTGGGGTTTTTTGGTACTAAACACTAAATCAGGTGTTTTTTTTTTTTTTTTTTTTAGTTCTTTTCATGCACTAGAAAGGTAGACAGTGGTTTAAGCCAATCATCTAGTCTTCCTGTCCTCAAATAATAATAACAGCAGCAGCCAGCCTCTCTCTCTCTGCTGGATATGCTTTGGGCTCTTCACTTGTATTAGCCCATTAAATCTTCACAAGCACCTCAGCAATGTGCTATTATCAGCCCTGTTCTGCAGTTGGGGAAACCAAGGCAGGGAGGCTGATTGACTTGTGAAAGGCCAGCCAATGGGATTCAAATGCAAGCAGCCTGGCATCAAAGCTCTCTGTGAGCAACTACATGTATGTTCTTTTATTATTCTATTAAAACCAATTTTCATCAAGGAAAATAGGAAACTGTACCAATTTCCATCAAGGAAAATGGGAAACTGTACAAAACCTAGTGCTGTGTAACTTACATGTAGAGAAACTGACTTGGTTGGCCTGTGAATAAGTGAGTCTCTGGATCTGGCTCTCCTTCTCAAGACCAGGGTTGGGGAAAATGAGCATGGCCCTTTCATGCCAGGGTTCCTGGTTACAGCAAAATCTGCCCTTCCAGGATAACCTAGTGACCCTGGAAAACAGGGAAAACTTGCCTTTCAGATACATTTAGGAAAAGTAAAGCAAAACATGGAAGAGCACTGTCATTGTGTGAAAAGGGAGTCAGGCTCCATTGCTTAGCCAGCTTGGTGGTTGGAACCTTACAAACCAATCCTTCCTGCATCTGCCAACTCCACCCATGATCTTCCTCAGTCCATTCCTGTCTGCTGGCTGCCTTTATTGTGTCCTGAGGTTACCTGTTCTAATGTTCCAACATAATAACAGTCTGGGTTACTTTGGGACTTGGAGCAAGAAGCCAGTGCTGCCTCTTGTGGTTGGTTTGCCATTTACAACTAGAACTCTAAGAACTTTGTTTCTACTTTTTTTATTATTTTAATTAATTTTATTTTTTTGACAGGCAGAGTGGACAGTGAGAGAGAGAGACAGAGAGAAAGGTCTTCCTTTTTGCCGTTGGTTCACCCTCCAATGGCCGCCGCGGCTGGTGCACCGCGCTGATCCGATGGCAGGAGCCAGGTGCTTCTCCTGGTCTCCCATGCGGGTGCAGGGCCCAAGGACTTGGGCCATCCTCCACTGCACTCCTGGGCCATAGCAGAGAGCTGGCCTGGAAGAGGGGCAACCGGGACAGAATCCGGCGCCCCGACCGGGACTAGAACTTGGTGTGCCGGCGCCACAAGGCAGAGGATTAGCCTAGTGAGCTGCGGCGCCGGCTTTATTATTATTATTATTATTATTTTAGTAGGTAACACATTAACATTGTTCAGAATTCAAAAACTAAAAAGGATGAACCCATGAGGCCGGCACTGTGGCTTAGTAGGTTATGCTTCCATCTGCAGTGCCAGCCTCCTATTCTTATGCTCATATTTCAGCTGTTCCACTTCTGATCCAGCTCCCTATTATGGCCAAGGAAAGCATTTGGGCCATCTGCACCTGTTTGGAGACTTGGAAGAAGCTCTTGGCTTCTGTACGGCCCATCTCTGGCTATTGGTGGCCTTTTGGGAAGTGAACCAGCAGATGGAAGACCTCTCTCTGTCACTCCCTCTCTTTCTGTAACCCTCTCAAATAAATTAATAAATCATTTAAAAAAAAGATGTACCCCTGTAACCCAGCCATTCATTTACCCTCTCCAGAGGCAACCAGTGTAACCAGCTGCTTGAATCTTTTAAGAAATATTTTATTAGTATATAAGCAGGTAAATATAAATTGTTTCATAGGTGTATATATGTACCATTCCTTTATATAGACATTGAAAGCATGCCATGCTCATGGTTTTGTGCCTTCCCCCCACCTAACAGTAGATATTAAAAATCATTAAAAGAGCTGCTTTAATCATGTATTTTTTTTTAAAAAAAAAGATTTATTTATTTATTTGAAAGTCCAAGTTACACAGAGGAGAGGCAGAGAGAGAGAGGTCTTCCATTGATGGTTCACTCCCCAGTTGGTCGCAACAGCCAGAACTGTGCCGATCTGAAGCCAGGAGCCAGGAGCTTCTTCTGGGTCTCCCACACGGGTACAGGGGCCCAAGGACTTGGGCCATTTTCTACTGCTTTCCCAGGCCATAGCAGGGAGCTGGATCAGAAGTGGAGCAGCCGGGTCTCGAACCGGCACCTATATGGGATGCCGGTGCTTCAGGCCAGGGTGTTAACCCACTGTGCCACAGCACTGGCCCCAAATCATGTATTTTCAAAACAACAATTTAGTATTCTGTTATGCAGCTTCACCTACTTTAGATGTTAAAATGTGAGTTTATTTATTAAAGAGAGAGAGAAAGAGGGAGAGACAGAGAAGTCTTTCACTCCAAAAATGGCTGCAGCAAGCTGGAGCTGGCTCGATCCAAAGACAGGAGCCAGGAGTTTCTTGCAGGTCTTTCATGGGGGTAAGGGGACCCAAGCACTTGGGCCATCCACCACTGCTTTCCCAGGCCATAGCAGAGCGCTGGCTAAGAAGACAAGCAGCCAGGACATGAACTGGCACCCATATGGGATGCTGGTGCCACAGGCGGAGACTTAGCCTGCTGTGCCACAGTGCTGGCCCCAAAATGTGTTTCTTTAAAGTTTCTTATAAAAGAAGATTCTCATTATCTGCTTCAGAAAAAGGTTTATTCAAGAAGTTAAGACATTTTAACTCCGTCCCTGTTAATAGCCACAATAGGTATCTCATAGCAACTCTGTTTATATTGCCTTGCTAGCAAAAGGCACTCACTGTCAGCATTACTCTTGGGTTTCCAAATACTTGCTGCTGTGATTTTTTTTAAGTATTTAATTTTTTTCCTTTAATTTAATGAATGCATTTTTTCATAGTTACAACTTTAGGAATATAGTGGTTCTTTCCCCCTTAACCCCCACCCCTCAGCTCCCTTCCCACCTGCCTTTCCCTCTCCCATCTCCTTTTTCATTATGGTTCATTTTTAGTATGACTTTAAATACAGAGGACCAACTCCATGCTAAGCATATACTTCAACAATTTGTACCCATGCACACACACAACATATGGAGTACAGTTTGGGAGAAAATTTGCAGTCAGTTTTCATATTACAGTTCATTAGGGACAGAGGTCCTAAATGGGGAGCAAGTGCACAGTGACTTCTGTTGTTCCTTTAACAATTAACACTCTTTTTTATGACATCAATCATCATCCGAGGCTTTTGCCATGAGCTGCCAAGGCTATGGAAGCCTTTTGTGACCATAGATTGTCGGTATTTGGACATGGTCAGAAGCAAAGTGGATGTTCTCTCCTCCTTTCAGAGAGAGTGTATCCTTCTTTGATGACCCTTTCTTTCCTCTGAGGTCTCACACTTTCTATGCCTGAGATGCTCCCACAGGCCTTTCAGCCCGACCAGGGAGCTGCTGTGATTTAAAAAACCCTTGCCAGCAGAGGGTGTCCACAGAGTCTGGCTTTGACCTTTCCATGCTATTGGCCACTACCACCTCATTTTCCTACTTCCATTTCTTTCTTAGTTTACAACCAAATCCAATAGGCTTAGCCGCCTATAAGAGGGGTACAGGTGTGAGGCTGAGGGAAGGAAAATTTAAGAGCTCCCTGTTCTGTACTGCTGAGCCCTTGGCAATGATGCCTCCAATCTCTCTTGCAGCTGAAAAGTCACAGTGAGAAGCTGGACAAAGAGCAAGAAGCCCTCGAGAAGGTAGAATCCAAAGCTGATCCAAGGTAAGAAAGTCATTTTGTCAGGGTCTAGTGGTCTAATTTATTTGAACAACCAAAACTCATGGGTTCTTCAGTACCATGCAAGTCCTCTGAATTCAGGTGCCTGTCCAGAAAGCCTGTTGTTGCTCAGGCTCCTGTCTGGACTGTGCTGGGTGGGCCATCTTTCTTCCAGCTCCTCTTATGATCTTATTTTGATCCAAGACAGTTGCTGTGGTTTGTTTGGTTTGGTTTTTTCCCAAGTAAAGTTTTCTGTCATTACAGGAGAAGAAGCACGTGATGCCTTTTTCAGCTCCACACTGTTTGGGTGGTAGAATTTCTTAGGTTTTATTCATTTGAATGCGATTATGGCATCACAAAGAGTATCAGATGGGGCCAGCACTGTGGCACAGGGGGTTAAACCACTGTCTGCAGTGCTGGTGTCCCTAATGGGCATCAGTTGTAGTCCCAGGTGCTCCACTTTCAATCCAGCTCCCTGCTAATGAGCCTGGAAAAGCAGCGAAAGATGGCCCAAGTCCTTGGGCCCATGTAAGCATATGGGAGACCTGAAAGAAGCTCCTGGCTCCTGATTTCTGCCTGTTCCAATCCTGGCCATTGCACCTATCTGGGGAGTGAACCAGCAAATGAAGATTCATATTCATTCATTCATTCTCTCTCTCTCTCTTTGCCTGCCTCTGCCTCTCTGTAACTCTACAGTTCAAATAAATAAGTAAATCATTTTAGTGATTTATTTTATTTATTTGAAAGGCAGAGTTACAGAGAGAGGTAGAGTCAGAGAGAGAGGTCTTCCATCTGCTGGTTCACTCCCCAGATGGCTGCAAGGGCTGGAGCTGCGTCGATATGAAGCCAGGAGCCAGGAGCTTCCTCTGGGTCTCCAACATGGGTGTAGGGGCCCAAGGACTTGGGCCATCTTCCACTACATTCCCAGGCCATAGCAGAGAGCTGGATCGAAAGAGGAGCAGCTGGGACTAGAACCAGTGCCCACATGGAATGCTGGCACTGCAGGCCAGGGCGTTAACCCCACTGCACCACAGCACCAGCTCCAGGTCACAGGATGAGAAGTTCTAGTTTAATGGCATTCTTAGCCAAAAAGTTCTCACAGATCACTTGCCTGTATAATTAGAAGAAACTGATTTTTCTTGGCATGGAGCAAAGTGCTATTGGATATTCGACATTTTTGTTTTCAGATGAGTGCTTTTAATGGTTTTAAGCAGTTTGTTTCTTTTTTAGAATGGATATAAGAAACAATGTCAGTACTGTATATTTGCAGCATAAAGTTGAATCATTGCTATTGTTAAATACATCCAGTACCACTGAACTCACTGTTTATACTGTTGGTGTTTTAATTCTGGGATCCATATGTGTGTTTGGATCCAGTCTGATAATTTTGGGCTTATAAGTGAATAATGATGTCAGTTAAATGAGAGACAGTTTGTGGAGAACCCATTAGATTGTCTTGGGGAAGACAGAGGAAATGAAAAAGGGAGTCCTTTGTTAGCTTTGGACCTGGCTTTAGCTGAGATTCATAAAATCATCGTGGCCTGCCCTATGTCATTTTTTTTTTTGGTCTTTTCAGTATTCTGCAGAACTTGAGAGCACTTGTGGCCATGAATGAAAACCTGAAAATTCAGGAACAGGAGTTTAAGGCGCATTGTCGAGTAAGTGTTGTTTGGTGTTGGCTGACAAACCAGGACTCTTGTAAAATCTTCTGGTGCCCCTCTCTCGTCCTCATGTGGCATCCTGTCCAAGAATAGTTTACAAAATAGATTCTCAAGCAAGTTAGGGATCCATCAACTGATAGGTTATGTGTATAGGTCATTTAAGGTTAACAGAACACTAGGTTAGCACCCTCCAAGGATACAAGAGTGAGTTAGATTAGTAACTGTGCCTAAGCCTGAAATTGAGAGCACAGTCTGTAATACACAGTGTTATCTAACTTACAAATGTGTTTGACAGAAACAAAGTGTGTGTGTTTTTTTTTTAAATACATCATATTTGGTTGATAGGTGGCCTTTATGAAAAAAATAACATCTTACAAAGCCAAGGTTGTTCTGCAAACCTAGGATGTCTGTGTACAAGCCCTGGCTCACCTGGCAGCTTGTAGTGATGCAGGCATGTGTCACTCCACAGAAAGCAGGAAATGAGGCCTGTGGAGTTCTTTGAGAGCTTTGGGGAGGGAAGGCCACACCCACCCAGGAGCCATCAGAAAGCTGGATCTTAAGGGTGAGGCAGGAGGACAAGTAGAGAAAGGACCAGGTGAGGCAGGGCTACAGGTAAGGTGGACAGGTGGATGAGGCTGAGGCCTACTGAAAAGAAGAAGCAGGCAGGGCTGATTGGCAGCAGGCTTTAAACACCTGGGGCATTTTCCTAGCCCTTTGATTGTGTCCAGTTCATCAGCCCTTTAGAGTGGCAAATTCTGATTTAGCTATAGCTGCTTGGGTATTGCTGGAAAGAATTTTCCTAAGCGGAAGATCAGAGTTCTGGACAGTAGTTCCTAATGGGAATTTTGTGCTAGCATTAAACTCATGAAATATGAAAATAAGACTTCTGGATCAAATAATACTTAAATAATTGCATTCACATTGCTTGTCCAAGTTGTGTAAATGCTCCTATTGCTTTTAAAGGAGGAGATGACACGGCTGCAGCAAGAAATTGAAAAACTGAAAGCTGAGAGAGCACCTGGTAGTGACGAAAAGGTAAAGGCCCTGAGCTAATTCTTCAGACTGTCCACTGCTGTTATGACCCAGACTGTGGGTGCCAGTATGGTGCCTGCAAGGACTGGTTGGTTTACCGAACCTGATCCTGTAATTACAAGTATTTCTCTCTCAGCTGCTTTCCTCCTGTGATTTGCTTAGTTTCCACTCATGTCTTTTGGTTCTTATGAGGGGTAAGAGGCAGCAGTGCTGTGTAAGGAGCAGCCTGAGACAATTAACTGCCAGATTATACAACCCTGTCCTATTCTTCCTCCCTTTAGGGAAGAGTTGTTTCCAGGAGACACCTGACCTCTGTTTCCCAATTATTTCCTTTTTCTTTATATAAATATTTATTTATTTATTTGGAAGAGTAACAGAGAGAGGTCTTCCATCCACTGGTTCACTCCCCAAATTGTTGCGATGGCCAGCCCTTGGCCAATCTGAAGCCAGGAGCCAAGAGCTTCTTCTGGGTCTCCTACGTGGGTACAGGGGCCCAAGGACTTGGGCCATCTTCTACCGCTTTCCTGGGCTATAGTAGGAAGCTGGATCAGAAGTGGAGTAGCTAGTACTCAAACTGGCATCAATAAATATAGGATGCGGCCGGCGCCGCGGCTCAATAGGCTAATCCTCCGCCTGAGGCACTGGCACACTGGGTTCTAGTCCCGGTCAGGGTGCCGGATTCTGTCCCGGTTGCCCCTCTTCCAGGCCAGCTCTCTGCTGTGGCCAGGGAGTGCAGTGGAGGATGGGCCAAGTGCTTGGGCCCTGCACCCCATGGGAGACCAGGAGAAGCACCTGGCTCCTGGCTTTGGATCAGTGTGGTGCGCCGGCCGCGGCAGCAACTGGGGGGTGAACCTGTGGCAAAAGGAAGACCTTTCTGTCTCTCTCTCACTGTCCACTCTGCCTGTCTAAATAAATAAATAAATAAATAAATAAATAAATAAATAAATGTAGGATGCCTGCACTGTAGGCAGCAGCTCTAACTGATACACCACAGCACTGACCCTACCACTTAGCTACTCTTGGATTTTTTTCTGTTCGCCCATTTCAGCCTCTTTCATGCCAACTTGGGGGCATACCCCACTCCCAAAAGGCAGCAACAAACATGAAAAAGGAAAGCAGTGCTGGCTTTAAAGTCAGAGCTCTGGGACTGCAGGAGCATTCTGGGTTTAAGGCTCTGACCAGCTGGTTGTCTCAACAAAAGACTTTACTTCCAGGGAGCTAGCACAGATTTCCACTAAGCCTTGAGTTTAAAAAAAAAAAAAAAAAACAGGAAAATAGTTTCTTTAGCTTAACAAGATTGTAGGTGTCCCTTTGTTTTTCCCTGCTCACACTTCATCCATTTCCTGAGGGTTCCTATGCTTAGGATATGAGAGCTGCAGGTGTCCTGATAGCCAGCTCGTTGATTGTGTCTTCTCTCTTGTGAAAATGGGGACGTAAGGCTCAGGGAGGGGAAGAGACTTGTGCACAGCTAGCCAGCACCAGAGGCTGTGTGCCCCGCACTCTTCACTGGACTGTGCTCTTGGCTGCCAGCAGGAAGATACAGACCTTGAGGGTCCTCCTCACTCTCACAACTGGTGATGTCATTTGAGCCAGGTCACACAGCTCCACATGCATGAGGGGCCTGGCATGGGTAAACTGCAGAGTCCAGGAATGCAGCATTGTCTTGGGATCATCGGCACATGCCTGCCTTTTCATTTGTTTCTACAACTTTGAGGCTCAAATCCTCAGCTCTGGCAGCCTTAGTTTACATAAATCTCAGACCTTCTTGATCACATTTCTCAGCACATCTTTTAGAGGGAGTCTTACTATCAAAATGAGTTACAGTTTTGTTAGTGTACAACTGACAGATGTTTAAGAACATATTAAAACCTAGGGCTCAGGAATGGGTGTTATGGCACAACAGTTAAAGCTTCCGCTTGGGATACCTGTATCCCATGTTTGAGAGCTGAGGTTTGAGTCCTGCCTCTGCTTGCCATCCAGCGGCTGTGCACCCTGGGAGGCAGAAGGTGATTGTTCAAGTACTTGAGTCCCTGCCAGCCGTTTGGGAGACCCAGATGGGGTTTTTGGGTCTTGGCTTTGGCCTGGCCTCTGCCCAATTGTTACAAGCATTTGAGAAGTGAATCAGTAGGTCGAAGAGCTGTATCTGTGTCAGTCTCTCTTTATTCTTTCAAATAAAGGAAAATACATAATTTAAAAATAAATGTAATCTGGTGGTCATATAATGGTCATTTCCTTTCTATCCTCTCTTCAGACATGCATGAGCATTGAGGTATATCTTAGCTCCACTGCTATGCCCGCCCATCCCTGCCCACTTCTTACACATAGATTCTCAGCTTTGTCGCATGCCCCTAAGACAGGAAAAGAGTTTATTCTTTCTCCATCATTTCAGACCCCCTCCAGTGGAGAGCCACCTGGTGCCTTGACCCACGTGATGACTCACAACGTAAGTACCTAACCATTCCCAGGTCTGGCATCTTCTGAGAGTGTGGCAGCAAACTTTGCACTCTCCTATGTAGTGGTCTCTTGCGCCTGCGTTAAGGTTCTAGGTGACTACCTCTACATCTGCTGGGCTCAGGGCCACTGTCCCTCTTTACTCAGCCCCTCAGATGGAGTCAGAGTCTCACCAGGTAGATCCCTGAAGATCACCATCCTAGTAGGTATTTTGTCCTCTTGGCAGAATCTCAGGTGAGAAGGGGAGAAAGGGGATGGGCCTGTGTTGGCAGCACATGCTGCTCATGACCCATAGGCTCTGAGGGGTTAGGTGGTGTCTGCTGTACAATAGGGTCAGCAAGCTATTTCAGCAAAGTGGCCAGGCAGCAAATATGTTCAGCTTTGTGCTCCAACTCTGCAGCTGTCACCATAGTCAGTTTGGAAATGACTGGGGCTTGCTGTGTTCCATTAAAACTTTATGTAGAAAAAGAAGCAGAGATGGAACTCTTAGGTCACAGGCTGTGGTTCACTGGCCACTGCTCTGAGTTAAATCAGTGTTCCTGGCACTCCAGCAAACCTCTAGGAGAAGTAGGAAAGGAAGAGGATATAGAGAAGAAAGGCAAGGAAACTTTGTACATTGCCTTAAGAATTCTGCTTCCCTATAACCTATGAAAATGAGCTTTGAGACTGCTCCAGTGGAATCCATTGGAGTTTGCCTAAAGCTTAGCTCTGGGGAGGGGAAGAGAGAAATAGAGAAAGTGTGTGTGTACACGCATGTACCTCTGGCCTCTTGTCATGTCTGTTACTTCATGAGGTTCAAGCTGGGGCTAGTTTCTTTCTGTTCTCCATAGCAGTATGGTGGAAGTGTTCTGTATCTGCACTTTCCAGTTGCACTAGCCACTAGCTGCTACCAAGTATTTGAAATTTGGCTGTTGCAACTGAGAAATTGAGTTTTGTTTGGATTTTAAATTTAATTAGGCACATGTGGCTAGTGTCTGTTAGACTGAATGGTTTAGCTTTAAATAGGAACATTGAAAAGAACAACATCCTCTCCAAATAGGCTGAGAATGTCTGTTTTTGGTGGTGGTGATGTGTATGTGTGTAAGTAGCGAATGGCACATAGATCTGGGCATGTGCATCCAGAAGAATGGAGAGTTGTTGAATGATGTGAATGGGTGTCAAGGGTTTCATGTGAAATAGGACCCAGACCCTGAATTTTGGAAAAAGAAATTTGAGTGCTCAGACTTGGGGAGTTATGATAAAAATACATTCAACTTCCAAAGACTGCATCAAAGGAGGAAAGCTTTCTATTCCTAGATAATTGTGGCCTCTTCCTATTTTTAGGAGGACCTAGACAGACGGTACAACATGGAGAAAGAGAAGCTGTACAAGATCCGATTACTACAGGTGAGCAATATCCTGCAACAGAACCAGAACATCTCAGTGTATAAGAACTAAAGACTAGGCAAACCTACTATTTGCTAGTCTTCTCCCTGGCTGTAACTCAGTGATTTAAGATGTTAGTAATAATGGGCCACATTCAACCCCCATCACCCATGTAAGTTGATCCTCACCCAAGATGGAGAGTATGCATTATTGGCTGCATTTTCTATAAGAGGAAATTGGTACAAATTGGTTGGTTAAGTACCTACCTTAATGTCAAGCATCTGCTAAATGCTAGAATTCAAGGTCTAGTGTTCTTGTCTAGTACTTGACCTCTGAAATCAACTGTCCATGTATACAGCTCTTGCATTTGGTAACCAGAGTGAGAGCAGCATCAAAAATGGGGGAGATAGGCTTTAAAGTCAGCTCTAAAACTAAATTCATGTAGAGTCAAAATCAGATTTTGAAATCTCTTGAATTGCAAGGATCTGGCTTGTGGAAGCTCAAAAGCCCAGAGTTACTGTGCACTGCACCCTGGCTTAGCCCTCTGTGTTCCTGGGGAGGCGAAGACCAGGGCTGCAGGGGCCCATGAAAGCCTGTTATCCTCTCTGCGGCTCTTACTTACTTTGATGAAATATGTGGTTAAATTCATAATGAGTCACGCTTATCCTTGATACAAGGACACTGTACTGATTTTTAAGGAGGCACAGAAATACGAGACAAATTAGGACAATGCAGCTGTATATTTGCTAATGTTTTGACTGTTCAGCTAGCATTAGGTGCTCGAAATAGTAATGGGAGAACCCAAGCCCTGGGAGTTGGCTGGCTATTTGAGAACCAGGATATGTATATATATGTCAAACTACTCAGAAGGCATATACAAATCACCTAATACAGGCAGCTTCAGACTTGATAAGGGAAGTCTGTAGTAAAACCAGTAGCTTCCTGAGGGTTTGCTTTAGGTACTGCCTGACAGGGCAGACATGGAAAGAAATGAATTGGCTGTACCAAATGATATTTAGTGTCAGGTATGTGGAAAAGGAATCACAGATAATGGTCAAATTTTACACAAAGGTGAGTATTTGTGGTTTTTATTAAGAAAGAAGAGACAAGGTTAAAGGCAAAAACGGAAGTATGAGTAGGAGTATTGATGATACATTTATTTTTTAAAGATCTATTAAGTTATTTGAAAGAGTTACACACGGGGGCGGGGGGAGGAGAGAGAGGTCTTCCACCCACTGGTTCCCACTTGGCTGCAATGGCTGGAGCTGAGCCGATCCAAAGCCGGGAGCCTCCTTCAGTTTCCCACGTGGGTACAGGGGCCCAAGGATTTGTTCCATCCTCCACTGCTTTCCCCAGCCATTGCAGAGAGCTGGATTAGAAGTGGAGCAGGTGGGATTCGAATCGGCACCCACATGGGATGCTAGCACTGCAGGTGGCAGCCTTACCTGCTCCGCCACAGTGCCAACCGCAGTATTTTGGAGCTTTTAAAACTTTGTCCAATGAGTGATTGGCTGTCGAATCTGACTCTGACTAGAGAGGGTGCTGATAAGGAGCCAGTAGATATGGAAGGTTAAAAATACAGTGAATGAGTATATCTTAAGATTCCTGGAAAGAAAAGGAATTAAAGTGTGAGTACCTGTGGGGACACAGTCTTGACTTAAAGTAGAAATACATCCTTTCCTCTAACCAGTTGCAGAGGCCCTGTTTTGGGTTTGGGAAGCTTGTATTTCCCCAGTGAGGTAGGCATCCACTTCTGTTGCTGTGGATTAAGCAGCTGGGAGAGCCCGAGGGCACACAGGAAAGGCAGCAGAGAGGCCCTCAGCCCTGAGACCATGACCGTGTGGTGGGAGCAGTATGAGCGCTGAGCTGCTCGATTCTGTGGTGGCTGCCCCTGTGCCACAGCATATCACACTGCCACCCACGCACTGTCAGTGGGGCAGTTTCTCCAGCCCATGGAGAAAATGACTATGAAATTATTGTGTGAAGCCAGCAGAAAGGCCTAAGTTCTTGTCATCTAAGAAGCATTCCACTTATTGGCAGTCCCTAGGAAGCTGGCTACTCTAGAGTTCTTTGGGGCATGGTAGCCTGGTTCTGGCCTTAACCATAGAAGCCCTTCCCATCCAGGATTTTCTGTCCTGATCCATTCACCTGATGCCTTCTGTGGTTCAGTTCACAGCCATACCTCTTCCTATTTATTGGAAACTGTGAAAGTCAATCAGAAACTGAGATGAGGACCTCAAGCCAATGACAGAATACTCTGCCTGCATTCCAGGATATGTGATTGGGGGCTCTTCAGAAATACATAAGGCCTTTTACCAAATAGTGTTGTCCTTTTGCATTTAGGCTCGAAGAAATCGAGAAATAGCCATATTGCATCGGAAGATCGATGAAGTGCCCAGCCGAGCCGAGCTAATACAGTATCAGAAGAGATTTATTGAACTCTACCGCCAGAGTAGGTGCATCACTAACACACAAGCTCTGGAGGCTGGGGAGGGGTTCTGTCCCACTTCAGCATGGTAGAGCTTGCAGCAGAGCACGTTTCATAAATGCCACCCCCAGCGAGGGCTCTGCTTCATCACCAGGCCTGCCCAGCAGTTCTGCTTGCACCACTGTGCTGCTCTCACCACCCTCTGTGTGGAAAGCCAGTTGAGCTCTTATTAAGAGGAGTGCCTTGAGGCAGCCGCTTCTTGTGTGGATCATCATGAATTCATCTTTTCTACAAACTCTGGTCCCTACTACATCATATTCACCCAGTAATCCAGGGCCCAGGAAGTTTCCAAGCCTAAATTGAGGCCATTACTGCATCATAGTTCCACCAAATGGGAGCAGTGCTGCAGGTCTGCTGTGGTCAAGTCCCTCACTTATTCATCTGATTCTATCACTTGTCTCTCAGCTTACAACTCTTCAGATCTACTGAATCTATGCCTAAGACCCTCCCCAAATGAGTGGCCTGCCTGGGAGCCCTTATTCAACCTGCATCCACCATGAGCTTTGGCATCTTAGCCTTGACTCCTGTTACATGTGCCTGGATCCCCTTCTCTCTTGTTAGGCAAAATCCTTTAATCTTAAGGCCCAACTTAGATTCTGTAAACCCACACTGGGCCCCTACCCTAGGCAAGAACTAATCCTCCTCCTCAAGGCTCCCTCTCATGTTTTCCCATAATTCTTCAAATTCAACAGGTCCAAAACTATGTTCATCCTCCCTATCTTGTTTCCTGTAGTGAATCCTGAACCATGCTGTTCACCAATCCTCTTGGTAACTTGCAGGTCCATTTCTCTGTATTGCTGTTGTAGCCTCCTCTCATCATTGCCTTCTCTTCACTCTTGCCTGAGAGATCTTTCTCAAACATAAGTTTGATCATTTTACATCTTTGCTCTAAAAGCTTTAAATAAAAGTTAAAAAAAAAAAACTATTGAATTAATGAATATAAATTTCCAAAGTACGGCTTATGGATTACAATGGCTTCCCTCCCCTTTCCCACTCCCTCTCCCCTTCCATTCACATCAAGATTCATTTTCGATTCTCTTAATATACAGAAGATCAAAAGATTTCAACAGTTTGCTCCCACACAGAAACAAAGTGAAAAATAATAGATGATTTTTTAAATGATGATGAAATCAGATCAGACCTTCAATAGTTTCTTGTTAGGTAATCTTTGGAATCCCAGTTATACTGTACAGAGTTTAGGGGACTGGCAGTGCCATTTCACCTTCCAGCTTCCCTCCTCCCATCACTCAGTGGCCCACTTCTTCGGTGCAGCAGCATCTCAGCATCCTCCTCGGTTGTGACCTTAGGCCTTGGCCTCTCAGGCATCCTTCCTGGTTCAGGCTCACGCACTGTGCCTCGTTTAGTGAGGAGTCCAGGTCCTCCTCTTCTCATGTCCTGCCTCACTAACCTAAGATTTCAGTCAGTCCTCGTGTTGGACTCAGGTGACTGCAAGTCTCAGCAGTGACAGTTTTCAGCCAAAAGTAGTTTCTGCCTTAAGCTAAATCTTTCCCTTTAATTTTCTACTCCTTCCTGCTCAAAAGCTTTTAGCAATGATAGTATCTTGCGTCAATATATTTCACAGAAAGAATTTCCCACATGCTGAAGTCATTTGGGTTTTACACCAAACACTTTGAACAGTCTCACCAAAATGCATACAAACATCTGCAATCCTCACCCATTTCTCAAGCCAGACAGGAACAGGTGACTGATTCTTTTATGATGGTGATGTTCAACTTTGACCACACATAGTCATCACCTGGGTCCCAACTACAGACATGCTCTTAATTGGTCCTGAGACATTCAGAAGCATCCCACGTGATTGTGCACTGTGGGGCTTCCACAGCAAGGCAGCAGTATGCCCGGAGAAAGGGTGCCTAGGTCCTTTGTTACCTCCTCTTAGTCATGTGCTTGTTTCTTTGCATTTACAGTTTCAGCAGTGCACAAAGAAACCAAGCAGTTCTTCACTTTGTATAATACCCTGGATGACAAAAAGGTTTATTTGGAAAAAGAGGTAAGAACATATAAGAAAGTAACTTAATCAAATGAGCAGTTAGCAGTGCACTGGCTCCAGGAAGCTCAGATACTTAATGTCTGGGATGGATGCCTTTGGCTTAAATGGAAAGCATGCTTTTGATTATATGCCGGGTGCTAGGATACAAAGTCAGACAGCAAAGATGCCTTGGAGCACTTGCTCTCTGGGGTTAACGCACATTTGTACCCTGAGAAAAATGCCATGATAAAAAAACAGAAAAGGGAGCTGGGGTTTAAAAGAAGGGAAATGGTGTTGTTTACATGGAGAAAATAACAATTTAATTGTCAATGGCAGACATAGACATGAATTGAAAGGATTATTAAATTCAGGGTGGGGTGAAAAAGACTTAATATGGATACTGGAACCACCCATTCATGATACAGGGCACAGTGTGCAGTGAAGGAGAAAGAGCTCAGGTTTTGGAGCCAACAGGTTTGGGATTTAGCTTGCTTCATTTTTGTCACCTGCAAAGTAGGGATACCTGATCATGTTGATCATGAAGACAGAATGAGAAAATGTAGAGTTCCTCGCACATGGGGGATTTGCAATATGTAGGCATTCTACTTATTCCCTCACCTGAGGTTGATAGAATTTTTCATTTTCTCATCACCTGTGGCCTGCACTAATTACCACTTTAATGAGAATGGTACAGATGTATCATCTACCTGAACCCAAATCAAAACTTCTATTGCTGCTTCTATTAAATCAGAAAAATCTCTGTACTCCTAGAGGAAGGATTGAGTTTTGTGTTCCTGGGTATCCAGGGACTTAGGCACATACTGGGAACTTGATAAATGGTTGACTAAACAACTGCATTTGCTGGGGTTTGCATCATACCTGGGAATAGTTCTGCCCCACACGTTAGCCTTGAGGCCTCCCTACCTGACAAGGGGAAGACTTGCCAGCCCTGGCTTGGAAATGGACCAGTCTCTTCTCAGAAGGCCTTAAACCCATTGGCTTTCCTTGCTCAATGCTGATTAGAGTAGGTTGAGGGAAGACTGGGCTTTTTAATTCCAAGTCATGGTAGCACAATTACAGCTTCACATTTGAATAAATTATATATTCCTAATGATTCATGCTTGTGACATTTTAGCTTTAAAGCCCAGCTTTGGAGTGTGAATGACTAAAATGTCATTTCCATGCTGCAGACATGATAATTGCTTAGTGCCGAACCCCAGGTTGAACGACTAGTTCACAGCCAGAAACAAGACGCAGGTTTCTAGACTGTCACTCAGAGCCCTTTGCAGGACTTCCTTGTTTGGACAGATAGAGTGTCCTGCTGTGGGTCTAAGGCAGTTTCCATGGGAATGGGGCTTTGAGTGATGCATATCCTGGGAGACTGTCAGAGCCACCCAGAGCTGGCTGCATGGGGAAGGAGTAGCATGAGCACTGCAGTCTCACTCCCCACTCTGACTCCCCCCTGAGCTGATGGTCCTGAAGCAAGATAGAAAGGTGATGCAGGGGCAGCTTCCTCATAGCCCTGAGTTAGCATAGCATCTTCTCAGCTCAGACTGTGGTCCCTCCGAGAGCCCTTTTCCTACATGTTCCTGGGGTAACATGCCGTAGGAAGAGGATTCTATGAGCAATGGGTTCTGTTACTCTTTGTATTTTTTCATCTGTTATAAGCAAGGTATGTGTTCTTTGTGAAGCAGTGTCCAGGGACCAGGCCAGCTTTTAGTACTTGGGGCAGTATGGTATCTTTGTCTTTTCCTCACAGTTTTTGTGTTGTTTTTTCCCCTTCCCCAGATTAGCCTGCTAAACTCAATTCATGAGAACTTCTCACAGTAAGTACTATTTATCTGACCTGCCTCCTGTAAATACCCTGTCACCCTGAACTTCATATTCGGCCCACCTCTTACATCCACAGCACTGTTGAGAAAGGTGTATGCAAGACTAATGGCTGGGTGTTGATGCTTGCTGTTTCACTTTTTCTGTTCAGTGGACGTGGATCTTGGTTTGCACTGTTCCCTGAGTTCCTGCAAAAATAGAGATATCACAGTGAATTTTTGGTATAAAAACAGCAAGACAGGCCGGCGCCGCGGCTCACTAGGCTAATCCTCCGCCTAGCAGCGCCAGCACACCGGGTTCTAGTCCCGGTCGGGACGCCGGATTCTGTCCCGGTTGCCCCTCTTCCAGGCCAGCTCTCTGCTGTGGCCAGGGAGTGCAGTGGAGGATGGCCCAGGTGCTTGGGCCTGCACCCGCATGGGAGACCAGGAAAAGCACCTGGCTCCTGCCATCAGATCAGCGCGGTGCCCCGGCCGCAGCGGCCATTGGAGGGTGAACCAACGGCAAAGGAAGACCTTTCTGTCTCTGTCTCTCACTGTCCACTCTGCCTGTCAGAAAAAAAAAAAAAAAAAAACCACCAAGACAGAGCTTAGGAAAAAAGTTAACTTTCAAATTATTCAGCCATGCCTACCTATTGTAATCTCTTTATATATTTTTTCTCAGTAAAGTCAGTAATACTGGTTAGCTTTAAGTATATAGATATGCTTTAAATTTTAGATAATCTACATAATCTTTTAAAGTATTTTTAAAAAATCTTATGGCAGATTTTTAATGTGCATCTTCTAAACTACCTTGTTCAGATAGGTATTTTTTTTCCCAAATATTGGATGGCAAGACACACCTGTACCCAGACATACCAGCCCAGTAACCCCTCACCATCAAGGCTCATTCCCTGCGTGGTAGACTTCATGTATCCTCTACCACCTGCCAGGGTTCATTAGGGATCTGTGCTAGACAGGAAGACTGAGATCTTAATTACAGACTCTAGATTTTAAGCTGCTTTTGTAATACAAGCCAGGGATGGGGAGGAACCACAGCTCCCTATTAAGATTGATTCAATTGACTTACAGCCTTGTGACATTTCTAAAAATGAGAGATCCCATGGTTGGAGCATTTCAGTGAGGATCTGTGCTATCAGCCGTTCCCTTGGGAGAGGTTCCAGCCCTTGTGTATGAGTCTTATCTGGTCCTCCTGGCACCCTTTGCCCCATGGGGATGGAGAAGAGGACTGTGAGGACATCGCAGGAAATATCAGAGTATGTCTAGACATATTGAGCAGCATCTCCCTGTCTTGTAGATTCTTAAAAACCAAATTGAATCCATTTCTTAATACACATTGTAATTCAAAGTCAGTAATGTTTTTGTTACTTTTAGTCACTTTTATATTACTTCAAGGAAATATACATTAGTTAAGAAAATTGTAGGGGGAGTATGAGGCTAATTTGATGTCTTCCATGGGAGTTGTCTGGGATCCTCCAGGGCCACATGAGACCCTGGGCCTTGCAGAGGTCCATTTGCTTCTTGAGCATAATCTGGGTACAAAGTCACCTCCTTGTTGTCTCCCCCTTCCTCAGAGTGGGTGTGCTAGTTGTACCTCTGCTGATTTTTCTTTCAGAGCCATGGCCTCACCTGCTGCCCGGGACCAGTTTTTACGTCAGATGGAACAGATTGTAGAAGGAATTAAGCAAAGCAGAATGAAGGTCAGATGGCTTCTCTTCTGTGGTGTGGCATGGGCTTTTCTGGTGGAAATGGGGAAGGTGTCTTCCTGTAATTGTGGGAGCGTACCCTGCATCAGTAGTTGAGAGGCCGAGCACTGTGCTAGTCCTGGTAGAGGGCCTCTTGAGTGCTGCTACCAGGAACTGCCTCTGCCCAGAGGGCACCTCTCTTGCCCAGTATTACCTTGACTCCTTTACAGTTTTCAGAACCAAGTATTCCTGTGCCTGAGGCCAGAATATAAACACAGGAAAGGATGAATTGCTTATAGGTCCCATGATAAAAAAATAACCTTCAAGCTAGCCATAACCTCATCTCACAGGATGAACTATGGGTAAAGAAACTTCAGATTCCCTCCCCTATAGAAATAACAGTCTCTCTAGTTAGAGGTTCAAAAATATTTACAAGTATCACTAGTGACAAGTGATTTCTCAGACTTTTCAGCCTCAAAAATGAGAGCAAATATAAGCCAACACTTAACTGCATGTTCACTCACCTAAGGCAGGAGAAAACAGAGTCCCTTTATGATGTGAGACAGAGAATGTGGCTGAACAGCTCAGGTCTTGGTGTGGAGGCAGTGTTTCCCTACCAGTGCTCCTCCTCAGGGAGTTGTTTTTGCCTACAGAACTATAGGAATTGTTGGGAAGTTTTCCCCTTTGGCTTCCTTTTCCTGTTTTCCAGAAGCTCCATTCCTAGCAGAAGAAATGGACCTAACTCCTTTGTTCTTTCCAGACTGTCCCAGACTTCATGCTAGCACTGCAGTGCTAGCAGGGGAAGGAAGCTGCTACTGTTTCCTTCTGCCCATGGGACTCAAGGCAGTGCAGGCTTTCTCGGGATTGCCCCACTGGTTACCGTAGCACCTGACCCACGATGCACACTCAGTAACTATTTGTCGAATGAGTGAATTTATTCAGTGGACTCTCAGCAGTTCTCAAAGAAGATTCCAGATAGGGTTGATTGGCACTCTGAATGGAATTCGTCTCCTGCTCTCATAATCAGCAGATTCAGAATGTCACGGAACAGAATAGCATTGGGCACGGTGGTAGGATATGTGTTTATGTCTCATGTAGGTATATGAGTAAACTGTGAGTCACATATTGGCAGGCACTGTGACCTTACTCAGAGGAGCTAACGCCTCTGAAATTCTGTGAGTGCTTGGCAAAAGCTTTCAGTAGTTACTGTCCCAGTGTGTGAAGAGGTGATAAGAAGGAGCAGGAATGGTGTAAACAGGGAAAGGACACTGAGAAGGGAGTGAAAATGAAACAGACCTGAGAGTAAGCTCTGGCTTGTAAGAGTGGGTGCCACTGCCTCATTTGTTTAGGATGTTGTTACTGAGTAGCTCATGTAAGCCAAATGACACTTCTTCCACTTAAACGTTTAACATCACATTTCTCAGGTTGAAACCTGGGATATAGGTGATGCAATCCCTTTTATACAGCCAAGGGCCCTATTGTTGAACAACCTTGAGTAACCTGTCCATGATCTGCAGTGATGGCAGAGCAAGGATTAGAACTCAAGCTCCTACCATTTCTAGATCACCACTCTACCTCCCATGGTGAGACCTGGATAAATCCATAATTAAATTGCAACCCATTGTCTCATCACTAGGACATAATCAGTCATGACCCACGATAGAGTTGCCTGCTGTGGTAAGGGGGGTGGGTGGTGGTCCCTAGCTGTGAGGTACTACGTAGCACAGCAGAAAAAGTGGTGGCTTTGGGAAGTGGGACCTGAAGAGGGAAAAGCAGTGGGAGTTGTGGTGGGTTGGTGCTAGATCCAGACAGGCAGCATCAGGGGGTTCTATCTACAGCAGGCAGGACTGACTACCAACCCAGCACTCTGGGACATGGGCCAGTGCCCTCCTATTCTCAGAGGGGATACTCACGTGTGCAAGACCTAGGTACAGGCAAGTTAACCACACTCAAGACCCAGCACAGTCTGTGTGCAGACCTGTGGAAAGAGGAGGCACAGCCTAGGGACTCAGAAACTAAATACAAGGTCAGGATTGAACTAGGCAAATAAACCCCCATGCACAATGGGCCTTCCCCTGAAGAACAGCAGGGTAAGACTTGGGGATTCCAGCTTATATTTCACCTACAAAGTACACAAAGGTCCATGGTGTGCAGAGAATAAAGTGCAGCCAGTTCATCTGTAACTTACTAAATTTAAAATCCCCTCCAAGTGTGACTGGAAATTCATGTTCAGACTTTTGTGAAGCCAGCACAAAGCATCACTCAAGGTGTCAGTCAACTAGCACTGGGTTTGTACTGTAACTCTTTCTTGTCCTCACTTCCTGAGTGGCCTGTGCTATAGATTTATCTTGTAAAAACACACTGCATACCTCTGGCAGCTCTCTCAGGTGTCACCTCCTCAGGGAACCCTCCTTGACCTTTATTCTGAAGAGGCTGTGCAGTCCTCTCAATCACTTAATCTTGTTTCACTTTTGCAAAGGGAATGTTAGTGTTGTATCTGTTTCTTGGGGAGCTTGTTTAGGGGCAGTCTCTGTAGAATGCACACTCAGAGCAAGGACTTTGCCTGATTTCCCTACCACATTTGAGTACTCATTAGGTATTCAGCCAGTATCTGTTGAATGAAGAAACTTTTAGGTACCTTAATAAAATCTCTTTATAGCAAAGTCTAGCCTCTATTTATGAGCTCATAAAACTGGAAGCACCCTAGAAAGATGAGTAAGTAATAAGTGATATTGTATAGTTTTAACATAATTGTAGAAAGTTCATAAAGAGATCCAAGATGTTGGAACAGGGAAGGAGCTTACTGCTAAAAAATTGGAGAGAGTGCAGTCTCAGGGAAGAGTTAGTGAGAAAACAGCAGAGAAAACTCCACACAAATTAGAGGGACACCGTGTACATACGTGGAGGATGTGGATGCACACAACTCAGGACCCCAGCAGCCAAGAGCTGCAGCATCAGCTCTGGAGAGTGAGGTAAGACCAGTGTGGAGCACCACAAGCTACTGGCGATAAAGCTGCAGAAAAAGCCTGGCAAGAGTCCATCTTGGAGCCCTGTGGGGAACAGTGCCAAACTAGAGGTGGAAACAAAAGGGGCATGTTTCTCCCCAGTCGCCCAGCACTGGCGTCCTGTAACAAGCAGAGAGAGGGCGGGTTCCATTTTGGACATACATAACAGCTGTTCCAGCAACCATCTGAGCTGAGATGCCCGAGTCTGGCTGAGATAACTCATGACTGCGCAACACTGTGGTGAGGGCTTAGGGTATGCCTGGGTCATTAAGCAGTCACTGTGGGCCTCCCTATGTGCTCGGGGCTCCCTGATTTCCCTGGTAGGGTCATTGCTGCGATTCATACTTACATTGAGGACTGCACAGATCCTTTGTATGGTTCTTGTGGTAGCGCAGATGAATATTGTACACACTGGAGCAACTGCCCAGGCACTAGTCTCCTTTGAGGAGGGGAAGTGAGTGAGAGACTACACCAACAGAACAGAACAAACCTCCTCGCTGATAAAACAAAATAGGTGTCATCTTGGACACTCCCTTTACCCTGGAGCAGTGAACAGAGTTCCCTGGCCATACCTACCGCATGCCTCTGCGTATTCAATGAAAAGGCAGACACTCCACTAAGCCACAGAAGCTAATCCAAAGATAGGGCAAAAATAAAGAAACCAACAAGTATCTTCATAAATGCTGAATAATAAAAGAAAAAAGACAGCATGATGCCCCTAAAATAATACAACACTTGAATACTGAATGTGAAGAGACTTAAGAAATGCCAGAAATGGAATTCTAGAAATTGATCATAGGATTACTTAAATTAAAAAAAAAATCCATACATGACATGAAAGAAAATTACTCCTATGAAAATGATATCTTGGAAATGAATTCAATAGAACAAATAAAAACTGCAGTGGAAAGTCTTAAAAACTCAGTGAGGCAGAGAAAGAATATCCAAGTTAGAAGACTAATTGCTAGAAATTTTACAGTCAGATAAAAAGTTAGAAAACTAAAAAACAGTATTGGAGATCTATGGGATACTATCAAATAATCCAACATATGGGTCTTAGGAGTTCCTGAATGCATGGAAAGAGAAAATGGATTAGAAAGCCTTTTTAGTGAAATAATTAAAACTTCACTAATTTGGAGAAAGAAAGGGATGTCAAAGTACAGGAAGCCCTTAGAAGATCTCCTAATAGACATGACCAGTAAAGATCTTCACCACAACACATTGTAGTCAAACTCTCCAAGTAAAAGAAAAGATTCTAAAATGTGCACGAGCATCCTATTGAATGGAGAAAAGTTGGAAGCATTCCCACTGAGATCTGGTACAAGACAGGGATGCCCATTCTCACCATTGCTATTCAATATAGTACTGGAAGTTTTAGCCAGAGCCGTTAGGCAAATAAATAAAGGAATACAAATTGGGAAGGAGGAAGCCAAACTCCCTATTTGCAAATGACATGATTCTATATAGAACAGATCCATAAGACTCCACTAAGAAACTATTGGCCCTAATAGAAGAGGATGGTAAAGTGGCAGGATATAAAATCAACACACAAAAACCAACAGCAATATACACAGACAATGCCATGGCTGAGAAAGCACTTCTAAGGTAAATCCCATTCACAATAGCTACCAAAAAAAAAAATATCAAATACCTTGGAATAAATTTAACCAAGGATGTCAAAGATATCTATGATGAGAATTACCAAACATTAAATAGAAAAAGATACAAAAAAAGGAAAAATATTCCATATTATCAAACATCCATACTGCTGAAAGCACTTTATAGATCAATGCAATACCAACGAAAATACCAAGGATATTCTTCTCAGACATAGAAAAAAATGATGCTGAAATTCATATCGAAACACAGTAGACCTGGAATAGCTAAAGCAATCTTATACAACAAAAATAAAGGTGGAGGCATCACAATACTAGATTTCAAGACATAACATGGGTCAGTTATAATCAAAATAGCCTGGTACTGGTACAAAAACAGATGTATAGACCAATAGAACAGAATAGAAATTCCAGAAATGAATCCAAGTATCTACAAGCAACTTGTCTTTGTCAAAGGCGCTAAAGTCAACCCATGTAACAAGGAAAGTCTCTTCAACCAGTGGTGCTGGGAAAACTGGATCTCCACATACAGAAGTATGAAGCAAGACCCTTACCTTAAACAAAAATCCACTCAAAGTGGATTAAAGGCCTAAATCTATGACCCAATACCATCAAATTATTGGAGAACATTGGGAAAGCCCGGCAAGACATTGGTATGAGCAAAGAATTCTTGGAAAAGACCCCAGAGGCTCATGCAGTCAAAGCCACAATTGATAAATGGAATTACATCAAATTACGAAGCTTCTGTACTACAAACGAAACTCAGCTAAATGAAGAGGCAACTGACAGAATGGAAAAATTATTTGCAAACTTGCAACTGATAAAAGAGATCAAGAAACTCAACAAAACAAACAACCCAGTTAAGAAATAGGCAAAAGACTTGAAAAATGCCTGTTTAAGAGGAAGTCCAAATGGCCGACAGGTGAAAAAATTCTTAGGATCATTAGCCATTAGAAAAATGCAAATCAAAACCACAATGAAGTTTCGCTCACCCGTTATAATTGCTTTCATTCAGAAATCAATAAACGATCAATGCTGACAGTGATGTGGAGAAAAAGATACCCTAATCTATTGTTGGTTGGAATGTAAACTTGTAACAACCGCTGTGGATGACAGTATGGAGATACCTCAGAAATCTGAATATAGACATACCATATCACCCAGCCAACCCACTGCTGGGAATTTACCCAAGGGAAGTGAAATCAGCATATGAAAGAGTTATCTGTACCTGTGTTTATTGCAGCTCAATTCACAATTATGGAATTAACCCAAATGCCCATCAACTGAAGACAGGATAAGGAAATTATGGGGATATGTATACCATGTAATACTACACTATTGTGAAAAAAAAACAAAACACGTTTTTGTTGCAATAAAATGAATAAAACTGGAAATCATACTGAAATAAGCCAGTCCCAAAAGGACAAATACCGTGTTCTCCCTGACCAGTGATAATAAAGTACCTAAAAAGCAATCTATAAAGTGACACTTTGAGAAGCAATTACCTTGAACAGCCATTGTCTCAACTGTTGAGGAACAGTTTTTCTTTTTTCTATACTATTTTTTGAATTCTTTACTCAACAGAGTTAATCATGTGTGTATAAAGTTAATTGAAAATAGATCTTAGTAAAAAAAGAATGGGAATAGGTGAGAGGAGGAAGAGGGGTGGAGAGTGGGTAGGAGGGCATGTGGGAAGAATCACCATGTTCCTAAAGATGTCATTATGAAATGTATGAAGTTTGTATTCCTTAAATAAAAGGTTTTTTTGGGGGGAAAAAGCCAGAGTGCGCATTCATCATTATTTAAGTCTATGATGCAAATTACAATAGTAAAACTCAGATAAGCACACTATTATATCAAAGAAAGACCAGATCGTATGGGTAATTAGAAACTTTTTCAAGTAAGAGTCTACTAATTCGTCATTTTTTTTTATTCATGATTACCCAAATCAGTTTAGTTAGGAAATAAATCTGCATAAAAAGTCATTCTTATACCTCAAAAAAATTTCATAACATAGAAATACTTCCAAGAAGTGAAAAGAGAATACACAACACAATCCTGCTGTATGATCAGTTATTTAAATCAAGGTTTCTTAACCTCAACAAAGTTAACATTCTGAACCAGATAGTTATTTTGTGGTGACCATCCTGTGTGTGCATTGTGTGTGTGCTATCCCCCGTGATAGCAGTAGCACCTTGTCACCACATGTTCTCTCAGAACAGAATAGCCTCAGCTGAGATTCACCGTCCTGTTATTGTAAAACTAGTGACAAAGAAAATGGAACCTGTTTATGCCCAATGATAGAATTGCTGAATAAATTATAGACCCTCCATGTAATATGCAAATAAATGAACCAATCGCCAAAACCGTATAGGGAGTAGATGTTCACCCTAGCAGTTAAGACACCATATCTCACATCAAAGTCTGTGGTTTCCATTCCCAACTCCAGCTCCTGGTTGCACCTTCTAACCAATGCAGACACTGAGAAAGAAGAGGTATTGGCTCAGCTAATTGAGTTATTTCCTCCCATAAAGGAGACCTGGGTTGAGTACCCAGTTCCATCCCTGCCCTAGCCATTGAGCATATTTAGGGAGCCCACCACCCTGTATGTATGTATGTGTGTGTATTTCTCTATCTGTCCTTTCTCTCTGCCTCTCAAATGAGTTTAATTTTTAAATTTTGTATAGAAGGAAAATACTGAAAGGAATCCATGAAAATTTTAGTAATGTTATCTGTAGGATATTGCTAGCAGCCCTTGGTCAGAGCATGCTTTTTCATCACCATTTCCCAAAATTTTTCAGATGGAAAAGAAGAAGCAAGAAAACAAAATGCGAAGAGACCAGTTGAACGACCAGTACTTAGAACTGTTAGAAAAACAGAGGCTTTACTTTAAGACTGTGAAAGAGTTTAAAGAGGTAAGAGGAAGGTTGGTCAGAGCATCTTAAGGCTAAAGGCAGATGCAGATGCATCCCAAAATGAGCCTTTAAAATATGGGTAATTGTTTTTTCCCTCTGGTCTGTGATGGGAATTTCCAGGTTGTTAGTATGGTATCCAGGTGGGTGAAGATTGCCTTGTTCCATAGCCTATCATGATGCTGTGGTTCAGTGTTCTATGAGATGTCACAGCTTTGTGTTCATTTTCCTAATAGATAGTAAGCACATTAAACTCTCAGAGTAGTTCCATTAATCCATGTGAAGAGCCACCTGGAAACAGCACTTGTTACAGATTCAGGTATAGAATCTTCCTTCTGTTAGTCTTAGGATGAGGAGGGACCTTGTAAAACTGGTGGAAACAGAACTTAGGATTTAAAGCCAAGCCTGCAACACAATCCAAACTTTACCACTTGGCAGTTGTGTACTTCATAGAGTCACTTAAACCCTCCAAGTCTTAGATTTTTCTACTGATGGCTTCTTTGGAGTCAGATGAGAGAAATCATCCATTTAGCACCGTGTCTGGCACCTGTTAAAATCCAGCACTCCACTGAATGTTTTGTCCCTGTTTGTTCTCTGGATTTGGGCTGGGTTAGTATCTGCCCTTTTCTGAAGAGATTTTCCAGAAAAGAGATTTTATTTTGTCCCTTTCCAGGGTCTCTGCAGCTTTATAAATTCTTTCCCCATCCTAATCTAAGTTCGTGTGGTTTTCATTGATTTAGAAACTACTTAACATTTAGAGGAGTTAAATGTGATAGTTTTCAGGTATTTGTTTTACAGAATAGAAAATTTAGTCCTTCTATGCCAATAATTATTTATTTTTAGGCTTTTCTTTCCCTCTTTCCCTTCTCTGCTTCTCCGCCTTGTGATTTAGTTTTTGGGAGGCACGTCCCCGAATCCCTCATCCTTACAAAATGTTCTACCAGCTGCTCCTGTGCCCTAGGCATACACCAGGTTGTAAGACAGACCTGGCCCTTCTCTTCAAGGGGCTTGCATTGTGGTAGGAGGAGGCACACAATAAGCTGAGAAAACAAACTTCAGTGAACAAGTCATAAAAAATAAGAAATGGCGATTTTAAACTTTTCTGTGTGATGGAACGTGTCTAGATGGTGTGGTCAGGGAAGTTGTCCATGGGGTGAGCAGGATTTAGTCATGGAGACTCACAGTTGAAGGCACTGAGGCTGGGCAGTCCTGGGAGGGGCAAGGGAGGTGCTCTGTCTGGAAACCCTTTTGTGAAGAGCAGAGATATGTGACTGAAGTTTCAGAAGAGCCAGCAAGTGAGTGAGCAGGCAACAAAAAGATCCCACTGCTCCCCTCCTTGGCTCTTTATGCCCCTTTAATCTAAATAACAAAGAGCAGTCCCCAAGGAGAAGAATCAACTTTTTTAAATGCTGCTTGGACTTTCCATGACTGACCTTTTGACAATAAGGAAACAAACTGATTAAGTTGAGGAGGGAAAGTCTAAGCTGTCAAAATCAAAGCAAATAAAAGTGAAGTGGCAAAACTTCCTGTGCTGCAGGCACTCAAGGCTGAGAGCTCAGGAGGACCCCTGGAGGAAACGGTTCCTTCCCATGTATTCACTGTCACGCTCCCTCTGTTCCTGCTTTCTGCTAGCACAGTTAATCTACGTCCTCTTGACGAGACCATGCTCCTAGACCAGATACTTGCCTGTGCCCAAGTTTTCTTTAGTAAAGCAAGGTTAGGAAAAAAGGGGGTTATCATATTCTTAAGTATTTCATTCAAATATATATCATCTTTTTCAAAAATAGCATTTCTTGTGTTTAAATGGCCTTTCTCTTATAACAGTGGTGGTAGCCTTTAAGTAAATACACACACAGAATCTCACACCTTTTTCCCACAAGTTTCAGCTTCTTTTACGGGTTGAGGGGGTGGCCAGGGTAGTTTGCCTACCACTCCCCAATCTCTACCCCATACCACCAGCCAGAGTAACTTTCGTCTGTTTTACATATTGCAGTTCCAGGTGAGACATCATTTGTGGTAGAAAGAAGGTGGAGTGTTCTCCCAGAATCCTCTGTTTGCCTTCCCTGTTTCTTCCCCACTTAAATTGTCTCCATATTTGTGCTGAGCAGTAATCATTCATCATGCAAAGCACAACATTGTTGTCCAGAACACGGCCTTTTTGCTCCTTGGCGTTGCTTTTATTGGGTTTGGTCTACCCCACATTAATTGAACACTAATGATGGCTCCATGGGCACCATTTAAGTACCCAGCTGTGCCCTTATCCTCAGACTCCAGCCTCTTACTGTCAGCCTTTTTGCTTAGTGCTATTGGGATTTCTGTAAAATCCTATTGGCTTAAAATTCTTCCTGTGCAGTCACCTTAATAACAGTACTACCCTGTATCTAAACCACAGTTTCTCACAAGCTCAAAAAAAAGACTTAAATTCTAGCCTAGCACTGCTGAATGCAAGCCCTTCATTTTTGTGAAGCTGGCTTTGCATATGTAAACTTGAGTGAACAGCTTGCTCTAAGTACTGTATCAGGCATGTAGTGGACTGGATATAGTCCAAAGCAGGAAGAGCAGAGACGATGAGACATTTTTCCTTTTCTTCTAGAAAAACATACCTAAAAGGCCCTACTTGAATTTACTTTGAAGAGACAGTGCTATCCTGTAGGTTCCCAAAAGGCTTCAGGAAGATTGCATGAAATGTAATCAGTGCTCACACACGCCAGGTGACAGGGCAGGATTTCTGTACTGAAACATTCAGACATCATTCCTGTATGCTGTGGTATCCAGTTACCCACTATGGGGGCACTGCACTGCAGGAATGTTTTGATGCTTCCGAGCTATTTTTGCCTCCTTTAAAAGGTGAGGTAAGGTGACAGTTGAAATGTTTTTCGCATTTTTACTGTGGTAATCTTAAAAATACCAAGTAAATCGCAAAAATTTTATTTTAAAAGAAAACTTTAAATTTTTCATTAAAACAAATGCTTTCTGTGCCCAGAAAGTGACTGCCTTCCCCTCCACAAAAATATGCTCAAAAAGTGTCAGAGCACCTCACATCTGAAAGAACCTGTCCTTACCCCAGCCTAGTAGCCCAGCTCTTCCCCAGCTCCCCAAGTGCAAGATAGTACTGAAGCCTATAGGTGAACAACACTCATCTTAGTAAATTAGCCAAGGCCATTGCATCCTACCACCACAACACTGCCAAAACGAGCAGGCAGCGGGTCCCCGAGAGCTGGAAACACCATAGCCCAGCCCAGGCAGGTGAAAAATTGACTTGGGAGGTCTTGGATGCAGAAGGCTCAAGGGTGAAAGGAAATTTTAGTCTCACAATGAATAGGTCTCCAGGAAGGCATGGCCACCAGAGTCCTGACGCTGCCCATCCTGTGCTCTGTGACTTAGCTCAGGGAAAGGGATGGAGGAATTTGTTGGAGTTTTGCAAGCAGACAAGTGTCGTGTGCTATCGAAACCCATAAGAATGAGAGGACAGGAAGGTGCACAGCGAGGAGCTTTTGAAGCTGTCCACAGAAAGGAAGGGTGACTTGTGCCTGGAATGCTGTATTCTGGAGGCAGCAGCTGGGGCCAGTGATCGCCCTCGATGAGAACCCTCCTAGATTCCATTTTTAAGGAGGTAGGGAGCATCTCAATGACTATCTCATCCCATTTTTTTTTTTTAAATTTGCTTCTTAAAACTAAGAATAATCAGCCTTCTCTCGTGTTAGAACTTCTTCACATGTTCTGCCTGCTGTGTAAACTAGGTCTGCCTTTTCTCACTCCTTTTTTACTCATGTCTCCCAGCCCCTCCCGCCTTGTCACTGCACTAGGCTTGCACTGGCAGATGAGTGTCTTCTCTGTGCATCTGTCCTCTGGAAGACTTTGGAAACTTCAGGAAATCTGTAGGAATGACAAGGACTGATTTTCTCATCCTGGTCTAAGTCTGACAACCCAGAAGCAGCAGTATTATGGTTGTTGTTGGGGTATTGAAGGTCAGTAGGTCAGCAGGAAGTGTGCCGTTGCTGGTGGCACTATGCTAGGAGATGGCATTTGTTGATCAGAATGTATTTCCCTGAGGCCTTGGGGTAGGACGATGAGACTGGGGCTCAAGTAGGTTCTTATGTAACTCCCCCTTCTCTCTACTCTTTCTGTTTCCCCTCTAGGAGGGCCGAAAGAATGAAGTGTTGCTGTCCAAGGTGAAAGGCAAGGCCTCCTGAACATTTCCAGCTGTCATCATGTCATTGAATTTTTTCTTTAATGCCAAATGCCAACCACAAATTCATGGTTCTGAATGCAACAGCAGAGAGATGCAGGTGTAACGATTTCAATCCCTGGATGTTTTTTTTCCTCTATTTGCTCCCATTTGGTCTGTCAGTTGTTTGATGGAATCAGTGCAAACACTGTATGGCTTGGATAACAACCTTGGATTTCATCCTGTGAAGAAATGTGAGCAGTACTTATTCTCTGTGTTGATTCAACTTTTGTTCTCCAGTAACATTACACTTAATGAAGGTACCTGTATATGTATGGACTCTTTGAATAAAGAAGAATTCTATTAACTGAACAGCCACTGAGAGAGACCCAGAGAAGTGTGAGACACAGTCCTTTTCCTTCAGACATCCCTCATGTAGCCAGGGAGTAGATGTAGCTCAGTTGAACCCAGAACTTGAGTTTTTGTTTGTTTTTCCAGTAAATAGAAGGTTGTTTGCCAAATGATCAGCCCATGTGAGTGCCCATCACTGGGAGCCTCCACCTGCCCATGGTGCCTTTTGTTCCTGACTCCTGAAGGTGCCATCCAGGTGACTAGCATGGAAGCTTTGGTTTAATATTTATACACTACCCAAGTTGATTTCACCAGAAAAATTGAAACTGGGCCTTGTATTGAGAATGCTTCAATGAAAACTGTAACTTCCCATGCCCTGGTAGTCATTGAGTCACAGTCAACACATGGATGGGCTTTTGCATCTCCCTCATTGAATGTACACCCCTTGCTGCAGAACTGGTCACGGTGAGAGTGAAACATGCACTCTTCACTGCAGTAAGGGTGGCCAGTAAAAGAAAATGAGCAGGTATATGGAGCATCAGGAAAAAGAGCTGTGGGGTTTGTAGAAGATACAGGAAGACTTCATGGAGGAGGCAACATTTGGGAAAGATCTGAAGGAGATTGGAAAATGAATAGGCAGGAAGGCTGTTTTATCTAAAGATGTACTACGGTTAAACCTGAGAGTATATGACAGTTCAGGCACACTTGTTGGGAGATGAACCAGTCTCTGCAGGAGGCCTCAGAGGACAGATGAGAGGTTGACTTTATCCCCTTGAATTGACTTTATCCCCTAGAAATGAGTCTGAAGCAAACATGGAACTCCTTCTCTGCTGGCCCTCAGGAGGCTGGCAAGTCAGTCATACTCAATGAATGGTGGCACAAGGTTTGTGCCGTGTCCTGCGTAACAGTCAGTAGGTTTGGACCATCAGATACAAAAGCTTCAGTGTGTCAGGCAGGTGGCATGCTGCACAGTCAGAGAAACATTGTGCTTGCTTTTATTTCCCTCATATATGTGATCAAGCAGGACTAATGTGTACGAACTTTCTATAACTCCCACACTGGGTTAACGCCCACCACTTGCTTCTGTGCCAGGCCTACAAGGACAGCCTGATGCGCTGGGCAGAGCAGCAGGGTCTGAAAGAGTGCTCCCTGTGCACAGAACAATGCAGTGAGAAGCCTAGTGGGATGGGTGCTGCGGTCTGTCCCTGTGGCTGGAACTACCTTGTTGGATACATCTTCAGAATCCTCTGTGCCCTCTCGTGGTCCTTTTCAGAAGTCATGCAGCACATGGTGATAGGCTGAAAATGGGACAAAAAGAGTAATGTTCTAACAGCCTCCCCTCTTCTGACGACAAACACTTTATGTAGGAAAACACTAGGGGGAATTTAGTGCCTGATCTGCAGCATTTGCAATACAACAAATACTTTGGTTTTCTTTATCAGCTTTATGTCAATTCCTGAGCCTCGCAATGCCAACAGTCCTCATGGCCATTGCCCTGGTATTCCTTCTGCTTAGAGCGTTGTCCCTTCCGTCTTGGGAGTGGCTTTCCCTGAACCTAACACACATGCAACCACTGTTAGCGTCAGCCTCCAGCTCTTGCCCTGCTGTCTGTCTTGATGGCCCATGTTGCTATCTGAATCTCAGTCCTTTGTGAAGGCTGCTGCTGCCCTCCCTCTGGAATGTAAGGGCAACAACAGCAGGAGCCTTTTCAGTCTTAGCACTGTGTCCTCAGCACCTGTCTCCAGGGTGGCTCAAAGGGCTTCTCCAAATTGCCACTTCTCATCCCTATCTTAGCAAAATTTCCATTTAACCTTTCCTATAATTTATGCTTAGTTTGAGAACAGGTAGACAGTTCTTTTCAGCAGCTTCAGAGGATCTCAGAATTTTTTATTCTCTAATCTGAAAGGTTAGCATGAGAAAAGGTGTCAGAGGTTTCAAACCTTTCAAAGGACTTCCTTTTAGAGATTTTTTTTTCCCATGTCGGGAGAAAAAAAGAAAGGGAGCACATGAATGTCAGAGACAAGATCATGAATATGTTTTGGCCCAAAATGTGTCATGAATGTAACAGTAACATGACGCAGAGATGGTGCTGCCTCCTACACACAAGAAGTGAGAGGATGATCCGAGGCTGTGGGAATCAGCATGCAGACACAGTGTTGGCAGAAGTACGAACTGCACAACCTGCATGCAGGGCAGCTGGACCCTATCAAAAGTACAAATCACAGACCTCTTAAAACAGCAATGCTGTATGTAAACATTTTTTCCTATGTACGATTTTTATTGAAGCCTTGTTTGTAGTAGCAAAAAGTTGGAAACTAACACCAATATAGTGCAGTGGTTAAATCAGTTATGGCCATTCCACACAATGGAATATTTTTCAGAAATTTAAAAGAACAGGACTGTGCTGTACATGCACAGCCATCCATGGAGTGATTTCTAAGATGCACGGTTAAGTTGGGGGGTGGGGAAGAGGCTTGCAGCACTAGTGTTTGCAATGAAATGAACTGTGTTTGTAGATGTGTATGTTTGTGTGTATACACGTATGCACATACACACACACACACACACATCTGTATGTCTGTAACACATCTGCTTACATATGCCTCAAACATCTCTGGGAGGGTACACAGCAGCCTTGGTTGCCCCTGGGGAGAGGGGCGGGAATGATTTTTCACTGTATACCTTTTGTACCTTCTGAATTTTGTACCATGTACATGTATTATCTATTCAAAAAAATAAATAGTTTTTAAATTTTAATCTGATTCATTTTTCTTTAAAAAATGGAAGATTTTGGTTCAGTAAGTAAACTTTCTTAGGGGAGATAAAGATAAAACCCTTGCTGGCACCGCAGCTCACTAGGCTAATCCTCCGCCTTGCGGCGCTGGCACACCGGGTTCTAGGCCCGGTCCGGGCGCTGGATTCTGTCCTGGTTGCCCCTCTTCCAGGCCAGCTCTCTGCTGTGGCCAGGGAGTGCAGTGGAGGATGGCCCAAGTGCTTGGGCCCTGCACCCCATGGGAGACCAGGATAAGTACCTGGCTCCTGCCATCGCGGCAGCCATTGGAGGGTGAACCAACAGCAAAGGAAGACCTTTCTCTCTGTCTCTCTCTCACTGTCCACTCTGCCTGTAAAAAAAAAAAATAATAAAATAAAACTCTTGAGTCAAAAGCAGTTAAGCTGTCCTTTTCTTGGGCCTGGGAGACAGTGGGCCAGTGTGAAAGGAGCCGTCTTCTGGTGGAACAGCTTTGGGCAGATGAAGCACTGAGGAGCTGATTCTGGTTCCACTCTGTGAGTCTACTTGGCTGTTAGGAACAAGAGAAGATGCCATGAAATGGCTATGCCCTGTTTTGACAAGTTGTCAAGGAAGGACAAGATTGAACAATTTCAGCCATCTTGAGACCAGGAGAAGGCAGATCCTGACACATTGAGCTTGGCAGAGTGTAAAGATGGAAAGAGCCTGGTTCTCTGAAGGGCATGATGTACTTCAGAGCCAACCTTGGGGATCACTTGCCTACATATTCTTATTCCATGAGAAAAATGGATCCTTGTTTGCATTTAAACACAAATAACGAGTTTCTAGCATGTGTCAGACCCTGAGAATACAGCAGTGAACAAAGCAAACAAGATGAATATGTAAATTGTACAGTGCTTCAACATACTTAAGGCAAGGAAGAAGTTTCAGGTGTTTGTAGTTTGGTGCTGGTGGTAGCTGCAGTTTCATAGTGAGAAGGCCCCACTGGTGAGGAAGAGTCATAGATACCTGCATGAGGGAAATTCTAGGCAGAAAGAAAACAGGATAAAGGCCCCAAGGCAAGGGCATACCCAGTAGATGAGTTTCAGGAACATCCAGGAAGCAGTGTAGGAAGCCATTGGAGGGTTTTGAGAAGAAAAATGAAATGATTCAACTTGACTCCAGTAGAGAGACTGCTGGAGGCTGTGCTGACAACAGACTGCAGGGAGGCAAAGGCAGGGAACCTGGTTGGGACTACTGTAATAATCTTGATGAAAATATAACAAGTTTTCCTGTCAATACCACACTAATAACCCCCCCACCCACACACACCCTGTTCTTTCTGCAAATGCTGAGCACTGAATTAGTGATTTTCATTTGCCATTCCTCAGAGCAGACAAGTTTGTTGTGCCTGGTGAATGTATTTTTTTTTTTTTTTTTTGACAGGCAGAGTGGACAGTGAGAGAGAGAGACAGAGAGGAAGGTCTTCCTTTTTGCCGTCGGTTCACCCTCCAATGGCCGCCGCACCACGCTGATCCGATGGCAGGAGCCAGGTACTTATCCTGGTCTCCCATGGGGTGCAGGGCCCAAGGACTTGGGCCATCCTCCACTGCACTCCCTGGCCACAGCAGAGAGCTGGCCTGGAAGAGGGGCAACCAGGACAGAATCCGGCGCCCTGACCGGGACTAGAACCCGGTGTGCCGGTGCCACAAGGTGGAGGATTAGCCTAGTGAGCTGCGGCGCCGGCCGTGCCTGGTGAATGTAATTTCCCACCCATTGACTGTGGGCTTTTGCTTGGCCTATGGGTTGGCATGAGTTTGAAACTATTTGTGTGGTTGGGCGTACCTATTTAAGAACATACCCTGCTGACCCAAAGAACAGATGAAGGACACATGGAGACGTCCCAGACCTCACCTGCATCTTGAAGCCAAGCCTGTGGGAGTCAGCCTACATCAGTGAAATCCTAGCCACCTCGTTGGCATATGAGCAAGAAATAAAGGATTCTTGCTATATACCATGGGGAATTTATAGTAGTTGCATAGGATTAAGAATGAGGCTAAAATAAATAAATAAATAAATAAATAGGGGCCAGCGCAGTGGCTCACTTGGTTAGTCCTCCACCTGCAGTGCCGGCATCCCAAATGGGCACCGGTTCTAGTCCCGCTTGCTCCTCTTCCAGTCCAGCTCTCTGCTGTGGCCCAGGAGGGCAGTGGAGGATGGCCCAGGTGCTTGGGCCCCTGCACCCAGATGGGAGACCAGGAGAAGAAGCACCTGGCTCCTGGCTTTGGATCAGCGCAGCACTGGCCATAGCGGCCATTTAGGGGGGTGAACCAACGGAAGGAAGACCTTTCTGTCTCTCTCTCTCACTGTCTAACTCTGCCTGTCTAAATAAATAAATAAATAAGAATAAGGCTGACTAAGACGATCATCAAATTGATTTTATGATAGGTTCTAACCTGGAGTTTAAAAGACATCTCTGTATACCACCCAGCATTCATGTGGAAGTACCAGGTGAAGAGCCAGAACAAGCTTCTGGGGATGGTACTCACATGTGGGAAAGATGCTCACAGAGGACAGGAGTCATGATAAGAATCAAAATTGCCTTCAGACATTCCTGAGCAAACTCAGAGTCCATGTTACAGGGAAGAGATTGGGCTGGCATTATGGCACATTAAGCCGCTTCCGACAATACCAGCACCCCATGTGGACACTAATTTGAGTCATGGCTGCTCCATTTCTGATCCAGCTCCAGCTAATGTGTTTAAGTAATGGAAGATACCCCAAATACTTGGGCCCCTGTCACCCATATGGGAGACCCAGATGGTGTCCAGGCTCCTGATTGAAGCTTGGCCCAGCCCCGGCCACTGTGGCCATTTGGAGAGCAAACCAGCAGGTGAAACCTGTCTCTCCCCACCCTATTTCTCTCTGTATCTCTGCATTTAAAATAAATAAAATATTTAACAAATAAAGGGGAGACTTTATATGGCAAGACTTATGAAATGAAACTATTAGTTTAGCCGTGTCCATCCTATGGGCCTGAACTTTGTGGAATTGGATTTCGATACAAAGACCCCTTTGTGACTCCTTAATAAATAAATCCAGTTAGAGGTCAAAGGAATCTTTATAACCTCAATTCTGTCTTAGTCGTTTTTTGTAGGTGAAGGAATCTGAGGCAGAACACAGAAACTACACGTATCAATGGTGTTCCTGGAATATTAATTTTCAATCAAATATTTTTGTCAAAACTTTTACTTCCTTTTTTTAACTTACTTATTTGAAAGAGTTAGAGAGAGGGAGAGACAGAGACCTTCCATCCACTGGTTCAATTCCCAGATGGCCTCAATGGCCAGGACTGGGCCAGGCCAAAGCCAGGAGCTCCTTCCTGATCTCCCAAGTGGGTAGCAGGGGCTCAAGTAGTTGAGTCATCCCTCCACTGCTTTTTCCAGGACATTAGCAGGGAGCTGGATTGAAAGTGGGGCAGCCAGGACTTGAAGCAGCGTGCATATAGGATGCCAGCATTTAAGGAGGCAGCTTTACCTGCTACACCACAATGCTAGCCCCAACTTTCACTTCTTACTGTGTGAACTAAAAGGAATCTCAGTGCTTTCTTGTATAAAGTCAAATCATTAACAGATTTGTTTTGGAAACTCAGCATCTCATAGTGATAGTGAGAGCTCTGGGAAGGACTTAACTAACTAAAGGAAAGGTTCAAGTTTGAAAAGTCCAACACAAGTTGCCACAAAATTAGCTTCAAGAAGGACTCTTACATAAGTGATTTCGCTGCCTGGGGTGCTTCCATACTGATACCACATTAACTCAAAGCCCAGGCCAAATAAACACAATGACAAAAGTATCCAATTACAAAAATAAATAGACCACAGAATTCCATAGATGTCCATACAATCATACCTGGACTCTTCCCAGATTTCCTCTTAGAATCCAGCCAGAATGATGCAAGAGGATCCACTCCATCAGTGCCATCTGCAAAGATACATATAGGTCTTAATGCTGTAGAATGCAAACCAAAGTTGAAACATGGAGTCTAGCCAGAATTGTTGGGCTCTATCCTCTTTTTCCAAGTTTGGATATAGGCAGACTTGAGTCCAAATAACTGTTCTGCTATAAATTCACTGTGTGACCATGGGTGAACTACTTAACCCCTTTGGAAGAAAGTAAAATGGGAGCCAGCGCTGTGGCATAGCAGATAAAGCCACCGCCTACATGGCCGGCATCCCATATGGGCACCAGTTCAAAGTCTCAGCTGCTTACTTCCAATCCAGCTCTCTGCTATGGCCTGGGAAAGCAGCAGAAGATAGCCCAAGTACTTGGGCCCCTGCACCCGTGTAGGAAACCCAGAAGAAGCTTCTGGCTCCTGGCTTCAGATCAGCACAGCTCCGGCCATTGCAGCCAATTGGGGAGTGAACCAGCACATGGAAGATCTCTCTCTGCCTCACCTTCTCTCTCTGTATAACTGACTTTCAAATAAATAAATCTTTCAAAAAAGAATAAAAGGACAATACCTACCTTGTAAGGTAGATACAGGATTGAGCATTTGTATGTAAAACCTAGGACAACAGCTGCAAATGATGGGTGGTTGCTCACTGAATAGTAGTCTTGGGGAGCCAAGACTACTAACTTACTGTGGCATAGTAAGTTAAGCCTCTGCCTGCAGCACCAGCATCCCATATGAGTGCTGGTGCAAGTCCTAGATGCTCCATTCTCTACTAATGTGCCTGGGAAAGCAACAGAAGATGGCCCAGGTTCTTGGGCCCCTTCACCCACATGGGAGACCCCCGAGGGGGAGTCCTGGCTCCTGGCCTCAGCCATTGTGGCCCTTTGGGAAATGAACCAGTAGATGGAGGACCTCTCTGTGTCTCTCTGTATCTCTGCCTCTCAAATAAATAAATCTTTAATAAATAAATAGGACTCAATTTATTCATAAATGTGAGTTTCATAAAGGGATGGGCAGGAGAAAAGAATTATCAACACAACCTATTATTATGCAGCCAAGAAGGGGAAACTCCTAATA